ATAAAACATCTTACTTTATAAAGGAAGGCAAGGAAGAAAGGAAAGAAAAAAAGAAACAAGTTAGAGGTAAGACACAAGTAAAATAATATAAAGATATCAGATGCAAATGTATTAGATTACTAAATCAGAGCCTAATATTATCAAATTGTAGCACAAATAAAAATACTGCTATATACTGCCCACAAAAGACATAAATAAAAAAATGAAAGGATGCAGAAAACTTAAGATAAAAAAGGAAAAAATTTATATCCACTTACCCATAATTTTTACTGAAACAGACAAAAAAATTTCTTCCAGGCAAGTGGCATAGGACAGCAGAGATAAAAGGGTGTGCTCTGGTAATCAGTATAACAGAATGAATGGTACAGTCAGTGTGAGGACTGGCTCCGCATAGCCATTGCATGTCCTCAGTCTTTATGTACAGTAATATCAGTTAATACCCTGAAATCAACCATGATAGGTATGTTTATGCAATGGAGACAGCAAATGCTGGCGACTGGGATTGGACCCTTTCTTCCTCTTGTTTGTCAGCACCAAACAAGATCAGTTGAATTTGACTAATTATACATATGGTGCAGAAATGAACACTGTGAAAGGCGGAAAGATACAGGCAGAGCAGGCCGCTGTACTGCCCTCTCTGGCATAACCAATAGGACAAGCAGACGGGGACAAAAACAACGTGACTTTCCAAATACCTCAAGCGAGGAGTGTCCGTGTGGGCACTGAATGAAGCTGCTCTCTTACAGTATCGTTTCTATGGTTTCATATCACAGTAAAAAATCTGTGATACCTTATAAAGACCGAGGAAATGTAGATGGATCAGCAAGTAAATGTTCATACTGCTCTCGGGTTCACTGCTCAGCACTCACAAACACATGGCTCACAACCATCTGTAACTCCAATACCAAGGGATCCTGCACATACACAGTGTACAGACATACACTCAGGCTCACACATATACTCATAAAACAAACACTAAAATACTTAAATAGATAAAAATGGGAGGAGCTGGAGAGATGGCTCAGAGATTAAGAGCACTGGCTGTTCTTCCAAAGGTCCTGACTTCAGTTCCCAGAAACCACATGGTGGCTCACAACCCTCTGTAATGAGACCTGATGCCCTTTTCTGGTGTGTGGGCATGCATGCAGGCAATCCCCCTCTTAGGCATATACCCAAATGATTCACATCCATGCAACAAAGACATCTGTTCAACTATGTTGATAGCAGCACTATCAACAGTAATAGCAAGAACCTGGAAGCAATCTAGATGTCCCTCAAATGAAGAATGGATAATGAAGATGTGGCACATCTACACAATGGAATACTACTCTGAAGAAAAAAAATAATGGTATCTTAAAATTCGCAGGCAAGTGGATGGCACTTGAAGAAACCATCCTGAATGAGGTAACCCAATCGCAAAAAGAGGAATATGGTATGTACTCACTCATATATGGATTTTAGACCTAGAGCAAAGGATCACCAGCCTATAATTCATACCACCAGAGGAACTAGGATACAAGGTGTATTCTAAGAGATTCATATAAAGTTTCTCACAGAAGCGGGAAGGGACAAGTCCCCCAGAGCACAGGGGAAGTGGGGGGCGGCAGCGAATGGAGAGAGAAGTAGGAGAAAACGAGGGGGAGGAAAAAAAACACGTGCAACCAGGAAGATTGAGCCCGGTTAGGAATAGAAGACAGGAAAGAGAGAGAGAGAGAGACAGAGAGAGAGAGAGAGAGAGAGAGAGAGAGAGAGAGAGAGAGAGAGAGAGAGAGAGAACATAAAAGAGGGAGCCAATATTGGTTTGAAGAGAAAATTGAACCCAAAGAAATGTCTAGAGAACTACAAGACTGCCGCCAACTAACAATTTGAGCGTCCTTGGAAAGGCTACCATAAATGCCCTTCCCGGATAGTGAGATCAACAACTAACTTATCCATGGAGCCCTCATCTAACACCTGTTGGAAACAAGAGCAAACACCCATACATAAACACTGAGTCAAAGTAGAACCCAGATGCAGATGGAGAGGACAAGACCAGGTGGCAGAAACACATAGTGACAGCTTACCTGAACAAGGAGAAGCTAATGGGCCACTAGACTGATAGCTGGGAAGCCAGCTTGGGACTGACTCAGGCCTCCCTGAATATGGGTCTCAGTCAGAAGGACTGAGCAGTCTAAGGGACCTCAGACAGTGGAGCCAGGATGTATCCCTGGTGCACAAAAGGACTTTGGGAACACATCCCCCATGGAGGGATAACTGCCTTAATCTAGAGACAGGAGAGAAGCCCTAGGTCCTACTTCACATGACCTGTCAGATCTACATGACCCCAACTGGATGGCATTCCCCTACATATGGAATTGGGGTGGGGGGATGGGAGGGGAGGGTGGTTAGAGTGCATGTGAGAGGGCAGAGAAGGTAAAAGGGAGGGAAGGAGGGAGGGAGAGGGAACTGGGATTGACATGTAAAATAATAAATTAAATAAAAAATAAAAAACAACAAACATAAAAAACAAAATAAATAAATCTTAAAAAAAAGAATAAAAATTGGGGGGAGAATCAGGAAATTTTCTTAAGAATTAATACACTGTGAAGCAAATTTTTTGGGTAGCTTGACTTCATGCTCAGCAATATCAGATTCCTACCTGAAATCTGTGAGGGTAGAAGTATTTTTACCATGCAAATGAGCTGGTACTGACCAGTGGGGAATGTTCTGTCTTCCCCTTATACAGATTTGCATTAAGGGATTCAATATAACTTTCTTTGGTGACAACCACAGAGTGACTAAGCCTTTAATGATGACAAGTCAGTACTAGCAGCAGGGACCATCAAACATTACCTTGTATGAAGCTCTATTCTAAGCAGTTTCCTGTGGCAAGTTATTGAATCCATTCAGAAGCCAAATGAGAGAAGAATCTTTACCATCTTCCTCTAACAGTGATGAAATGGAGACAATGAACACACAGTATACTAAAATCACACAGCTGACCCTCACAGGGCTGATAATCAGCGTTTCACACACAGTACCTACTTAAGGTGATTCAGCAACACACTTAAAACATAATGGCACATTTTGTGGTGCACACCTGTATTCTTAGCATTTGGGAGGTAAATGCAGGAGGGTCAGCCTTGCCTATATAATGAGTTTGAGGTCAGCCTGGACTGCAATGAGATTCTGCTTGAAAAGAAAAAAATCCCAAACAGAAAACAAACCAAAGCCAATGATCCATATGAACCCTAATGCATGTTATTTCTGCATGCAGGTCCTTTTGTCCTGTTTCCTTCCCTCCCTCCCTCCCTCCCTCCCTCCCTCCCTCCCTCCCTCCCTCCCTCCCTCCCTCCCTCCCTCTCTCCCTCCCTCCCTCCCTCCCTCTCTCCCTCCCTCCCTTGACCTTTCTCCCTCTCTTTATATGTCTTTCTTGTATTTCATCCCGTGAATGGTGCTAACGTCCTTGTTGCAAACCATTCATCATAGCTTAGGCCATAGTTGTTTCTGTACCATGTCCCAGTTATGTAAAAATGGGCAACATCCCCTATATTCCTTCAGTAATCCTATAGCATGTTTTCTATAATGAAAATACACATAGTCTGGGATTTATTCCTGGCAGAGGAATTATATGTAATAAATGAGTATGATTGTAAATGAAGATGACAAGACTCACTCAAAATGATTTAAAGCACCTCTTTATTATAGATAGGTAAATGTGGTTTGCTGAGGTTAACAGTATGCTTGTAATAGTTGAACAACAGGCTCATCCATACAGCAAGAGTTATAATCTTTTTCTTTTAATATTGAATTAACATTTCTCTGATGACAAGGAAAGACTGAATGGGCAGAGCTTAGTTTCAGTGGGAAAAGATCCCCTCAATGCATGATGCCTCTGTAAAGACCATAAAATTCCTTTAAGCTTTAACATCATATTTAAGAGCAGTAGTAGAAGAAGAAGAAGAAGAAAAAAAAAACCCAATGAGTATTATGAAGCAAGTATTTTCTATAAAGCATAAATATAGTTTTATAATTTAAAACAGCAGCAATTTTCAAAAGGTTGGCTGAATTAAAACTTTACATAATATTTATATATGTACAAAATATCATTCCAGATGATCTTGGAGTTGTAAAACAGTATATCACAAACCCCAGTTATAAACCAAACTTACCACTGGATACAGGTGACCTAAGGTACTTTTTACAGCAATTTAAAGGAGAAAACAAAAATACCAAAGAAACACCCCAATTCTCTTGGATATACAAGCGAGTTATGACATGCAGGCTTTGATTCGTGTGCATAAAGAGAATTTCAGAATAAAGATTTTGCATAAATAGCTTTACTTGTTAACAAGCATGAGACCATGGAAACAAGTATTAACAACTAAGACATATTTTGATGTAACCAGTACATACACTCTTAATGACGAAGATGAAGAAAGAAATAAAATAGTCTACGACAGCCACAGCACCCTGTTTTGAGAAACAGCACCAGGCACACGAAAAGGCAACGTGGGAGAGGTAGTGTAGGTCGGCTAAGATTCCAGGCCCCTCAGGGACCTGGATATAGCTTAGGGTTTGGGGACAAAAGGAACCAGACTGGCTCGCAAATTTTAGACAGAAACGTTGCACAGTTTGGAGCACTATCCAGTACTGCTCCACACACCGTGCCTGCGCCGCAACTCCATCTGTCTAACGGGGTGAAAGCACAGAGCACCCTCAAGGATTCAGGTTAATACGTTTTCAGTTCTAGGGAAGTCTTTACGAAAAATCAGATCAGGAGGGGGGGAGGGAGAGAGAGGGAGGGAGGGAGAGAGGGAGGGAGGGAGGAAGAGAAGAAGAAGAAGAAGAAGAAGAAGAGAGAGAGAGAATTAAATACACTATCAATCATAGTCCTTTAAAAACGCCAGTTCTCCTTGGGAGGAAATCTTCTTCCTGAGGTTTCTTAAGCTTTAGCCTCTGTCTTTGCCCCTCCCCACATACTTTTCTGTCTGCAGTTCCCCCTCTGCACCAATGGCCTTAGGATGCACAGCAAGGCAGCTGCGCTACCGCAGAGGCTTTAGAGAAAGCACACAGAACTGCTTTCAAGGTAGTGCTTTCGCTCGGTTCTGAGATGAGGAAGGTTTTGGACTTCAATCACAGGAAGCTGATCAGGATTCTGGGTGTGAAAAAGGAATTTTGCCTTGTGCCAGCTGCCATCCTGAATCTGTAAAAGAAGAGCAAAACGCATTCATATGTAACTGCCTCTCCAAACACTCATTCTCAACGCGCAGAACCCTTCACTGACAATGTGGAGTCCTTTCAAGTTTTAGAGAGACAGTGTTGTGTGCAGCAGAATATTAGCAGCCAAGACAAGGGGAAATCACAATTTGAGGACTGCCTGGAGGCCAGTTTGGGTATATAGAGACCTGTTCCCCCAAAGGGGGCGGGATTTAATGAAAACATTTAGAGCAATGTTAAATAAACAGTAATAACACGATCAATCAAAAATTGGAAGTCTGGGCGAGTGCTCGCTTGCCCATCTTCTCCTACTCTGCCCTCGCTGGCATACTTGCATACTGGGGATTACTGCTAAGTCCTCTTGCTAGCTGAGCATTTTATCACTGGGCTACACCTCGAGGCTTTTTACACACTGATGAAACCAATGAGCTACCTACCATGCCGACACAGCACCGGGCTAGCACAGCACCTCTTTTTTATACACTTAAAGACAACATCTCATTCAATCACTCTGTAGACAAGGCAGGGCTTGAAGACAGGATCCTGCTGCTTTAGTCTTCCGGGTGGCTGAGATTACAGACTCACACCATGCCACCAGGCCCACGTATGACAGTGTGAACTGTAAACCCGGGAGACGACTGGCCTCTGGTCGTGTTAGTGGGCATCATCTTGATTACATTGAGTGCAGTAGGAGACTTGCACGGGGGACAGTGGGTGACATTTCCCAGATGGGATCCTGGGCTGCATACGAATGGAGAAAGTCAGCTGCGCACTAGCATGTGCGCATTCGTTGATACTATGGATGCTATGTGAGCAACTCTGACCCACAGTAAGCTCTTTTATTACTGCAGCAGCAGGAAACGAAGCTAGGACACTAGGCTTCATTCCTTTGCTATAGCCTTGTCTTCTGATTTTTACTGCTAGAGGTTAATGCGAGCCTTCTGCTTCCGATGTCTATGGATCACCGTAGCAGATGTGAGTGAAAAATCCACAGTATTCTTAAGAAGAGTCAGGTGCATCTGTTCCTTTTTCAAGTATTTGTTTGGTTGGTGTGTGTGTGTGTGTGTGTGTGTGTGTGAGAGAGAGAGAGAGAGAGAGAGAGAGAGAGAGAGAGAAGTTAATGGGAAAACAATGAGAGTTAGTTCTCTTCTTCTACCACATGGGTCCCAATGAGGTAGCAGAGCATTTCACCCACTGAGCCATCTTGCCAGCTCCCTCTCCCTGTATTTCTTCAGGGTGGTAATTTTTCCTGGGTAAAAGAGGGTCACTTATCACAGTTTTTGTACATTAGGTAGCAAATAACTAGGATTGCCTTACTTAGAATCAGTTAAGTGCTAACCATATTGAATCATTTTAGGTCCCCATCTCTCTACCCTGTTTGTGGTTTTCCATTCCAATGTCTTTCTTCTTTGTTCTTTCTAAGCCTTCTGCTTGTCACATTACCACAGCCTGTGCTGCATATGATAAATGATATGGTCAAAACCTATTGTAAAATGTTCTATGTTAAGCATTCAACACGGTTGCCTAAATTTATGGAGCTTTTTATTCAGCAGCCAATGTACTTGTTTACTTGCTCATACTCTTGTCATGGTCTGGAGTTTAAAAACTGAAGGATCTTTAGTGACCATATAAGCTAATATCTTCATGTTAAAGCCAAGGCCATTGACGTTCACCAATAAATCAGTTGTCTGACGTCCTAAGGCTGGTATGATAACCAGACCTGAACATCGGAGAGACACTGACCCGTCAAGCCGACACTGAACGTGCTGCTGCTGAGCGTTAGGCACAACTGAATGAGCTGCCGTTCGTAATTTTATTACGGTGCTTGGGAAATACAAAGGGGACTAGGCTGGCTCTGACCTCCCAAGTGAACAGCTTAGCAGTCCGACTGGGGAGAACAGACATAGATACATGAGGTAAGGCCTTGTAAGGCAAGGACAAGCAAGGCACAGCATACAGACAGAGGCTGTGTGCAGTAAGCACAGGGTACATGGTACGGGCAGACATGCATTCTAAGTTCTCTTTGCTAGAGAAGTCAGGAAACATTTTATGAGAGTCAGAATTTGACTGGGTCTTAACGCATGCCAGAAACTTCCAGATGGTCAGGGAAGTCATTGTAGAGAAAAGGGAATAGGCAACCACAGTGAATAAGCAAGGGCAGCAACCCCCCTCCCCCCGGGGCCAAGTACAGATGGTAAAGAAAGTGGTTGTGAAATCAGCCTAGCACGGGGTAAGAACATCACCTGGGAAAATTTCAATGGAAATTCAGGCACTGATACGTTTCCTCACATATATAGTGGGACTTTAACCTGTTTTACAGGGCTGGAGATCAAATGAGAGTTCAATTAAACGCTGCAGCTGGCTGTGAGGTATGGGATTTGGAGCTATGCATACCTGCGATTGCTCCTGGAGGTTGATAACCTCCAGGAAGTTCCTTAAACTCTGTGTGCCTTCACTTTCTTACCTATGAAATGGGTCTAATCTTATTTGTTTGTCTGGGAAGACAATCTCATGTAGCCAAGGCTGGCCCTGAACACCTAATCCTCCTGCCTTGACATCCTAACTGCTAAGTTTATACTGTGTGCTACCAAGACTGGTTTGAACTAATTTTTTCCTTACAAATGTATTATGATGAATAAAATAATATATGCACTGCATGTCCAATTACCACACAAAACAATAAATAGTAGAATTGTTATTATTATTATTATAATAAATAGATCAGCTTGGACTTAAACTAGAGTAGCAGCCAATGAAAGCCCAGTCTAGAAATGTAGGTAGTTGCTCAGCTCACTGATTCTCAGATTGTATCTTGGAGCACTAATGAGCCACTTCCCAGAAAATGTCTGGGAAGGACTAAAAGTCCTTGTTGGGAATAGTGCTCTCTTTAAGTAAAGAGAATAAGAACAATCTTCTTTTGACCATTTACCTATGAAAAGGATGTAGAAAAAATGGTCTCCAAGAAACGGCAAGAGATGTTAAATCATGGACTTAATTATATAGTAGGGCAGGAAACATGCTACTTAAAAATAATTAATAAGAACTTAGTTGTATGTATAATTAATGTTATATTACTTCATTTCAGTAGAAAAAAGTGAGCTATATTCATATTTAATTGTATAAGATTGAACAAAACCAAGTAAAGTAACAAATCCATGACTTGTCTTACATGTAGCAATAAGGTATAGGACACAAAATATGAAATAAATATATTTATGTGCATGCTATATCAATTGGTTGATCAGTTGAGCTATCAATCATTTCATTTGTTTATCCAGATATAATAATTCCATCTGAGGGCAAACATCTATGGTTTAGCATTTGTTTGACACATAAAAATCCATAAATGGGGGCTGGAAAGGTTATTCATCAGTTCAGAGCACATGCTGCTCTTTCGGAGTTTGGTTCTCAGCCTCCACATCAGACAGGTCACAACTGCCTATAATTCCAGCTCTAGGGGGCCTAACACCTCCCCCACCCCCATAGCTTCCATGGCCACTTGTACATATGTGGCATGCACAAACACAGAAAGATAGACACACATACACACAATTAAAAATAAGAGGCTGGAGAGACTGCTCAGTTGTCAAGGACACTTGACTCTCTTACAGAGGATTCAGGTTTGGTCCTTAGCACCTCATGGTGGCTCACAACCATCTATAACTCCAGTGCCAGGTGAGCCAACGCCATTGTCTGACCTCCGAAGGCACCAGACACACATCTGGTGCATATGCATACATGTAGGCAAAACATTCATACATGTAAAAATATTTTAAAAAGACATGAAAAAACCATGAATAAGCTAGGCATAGTGTCTCATGGGAGGTAGGAGCAGGGGATCTCTGAGTTCAAGGCCAATCTGGGCTACATAGCAAAGTCCAGGGTACCCAAGACTATATAGAGAGACCCTGTCTCAAAAACAAGACAAAACAAAAATCCTCCAGTAACCTATTAACATGTCAAAAGTTGATAATATATGCATATCTAGATGGGTAGATACAGACAGATAATGGTTGTTTATGGGAAACGTAGGCATGCCAGGAAACTTAAAACTTAGCACTCTTCTGTAGTTTCAGTTTGTAAGGAAAGTCCCATTCTCATCATTTACAATTGCATTTCTAAAAGTGTTATTCTCTCACCTTGCAGTCATCTGAGAGGACTTTAGGTTCAAGTAGAGTATTTTCTTCGAAAATCTGACCATTCCATCCTTTGAAACTAATAGGCAATCCCGGGCCATCTGCCTGTGTGCTTGTCCATCTTGGGGTGCTTAGACAGTGAACGGTGACAGTGTGGGTGGCTTCTGAGCTCAGCAAATGAAGAAAGTTCATCTGCACTTTGCCAACTCCAAACTCCAGCTAGTGTCATAGAAACGAGAGTCACGTTATAACACTTGTGATATAGGGCAGCCTGAGAAATCTGGGAATTAAATGCTGATAGGAGGAATTGGAATAGGGTTAGCCACACATTCCTGGTGTTGGTGTTGGTAGTGTTGCTGTTGTGATCATGTGATCTCTGATTCTGACTATCAGGGTGGAAACACTGCTGTCAGGCTACCGAGGTGATGCCAGTGGGCGTGGACTGGGAAAGGATGTCGATAACAGTGTTCTTTAGCGTCGGTTTGAGCTGTCTGTAGCATACCATTAGGCTATTACATATAATAATATAATAAAATAATTTTATGGTGCTACTTGCAATACAGTAATAATTGTTGTTTGCTTGGCATATGCTATAATCTGTTTTTCAGGAGAGTCTTCATTTGAGATAACCTTTGTATGAATTGCGTAAAATGTTTCGAGTTTAGAAAAGCAGTTTGGTTGAGTAATTTTAATGTTTTGTGAAATCCTAAAGTAGTTGCAAACAGTGAGCCAGCAAGAAATGTTTACTAAGGGTATGAAGGCATGAACCAGCCTTAACTAATAGCATGAGCAGCACAGGGAAAAACAGGAGTTAGCAAGCCTGACTACACATTCCCACATCTGGAATGGGGAATAAAAGCTTCTGTAGCCCACACACCTCCACCACTACCACTGCTTTCACCATCATCATCACCATCATCACCATGGTCATTATCGTTGTCAGCATCATCACCATCACCATCATCAACATCATCAGCACCATTACCACTACTACCATCATCATCATTGTCAATGCCATCACCACCACAACCATCATTGTCTGAGACTCATTCAGGGAGGAGTCCAGATACAGTGTGAATATGGAATTGCTACTAAGGAATTTATATTACACCCCCAATTATAAATCATAAAAACTGTCAGGAGGTAACAACGCTGGGAGAAGCTAAGGCAACAACAATCAAAAGAAAAACCAGAAAGAGAGTGCACAGTGCAGCAGCTTAGCCTTGACCTGAACCCTAATACCAGGGACACCAGAAGAACCAATGTCAGAGCAACAGAGAACTCCAGGGCGTAAATAAATATGCAATTAAGGTATAGGGATAAAACTCTCCTTAGGAGTGTTAAAGTTTAATTTCCAACTTCCTTATTTTGTGACCCGAGTCAGATATATGTAGAATAAGTGGGGGGTGTAACACCCACCTCAAGGGGCTGCTAAGAGCCTTAACTCGGTAGGTTATAACAATTTTCTAATGGCTGAAGATTGGCCAGGCAGTAAACAATTATTTTTCAAAATATTGATTGTTTCTTGGAATGTGTGTTTATCAATATTGTTTTGATTATGGTATCATTAGTTTCAGTATTCAACTTTAATACATTTTCACACCAAAACACTCAAAAAAAAACCCCAAAATCAAAAAGAAAACGACAAAGGTAGTTTATCCACTCTAGCCCTCAGAGAGTAGCATGCCCTTTGGTAGCCTGCAGTTTCATTCCACAGGCCACTCTCCTCACACATTACCAATTTCTGGTCTTTCTGCAACCTACCAATGAGAGAATGGATTCAGTCACAGGGACACACACACACGTGTATTGTTCTTTACTGTTCTTACTTTGTCTGCTCAACATTTCCCTTCTTTTATCTCCTTTCTACAAAAATCTGTATAAAAATCCCTGGGCAACTCCCAGGGTGCATATTTTATCTAGACAACTATTATGTTGCTCTTCATTTAGAGGTACGTTGATCCCCTAGGGATGGAGCGGCCCTCTGTCCTCGGCTATGGAGAACAGTGGTGAATGTCCACTGAGATCAACATGAAAAGCAGCACAGTAGAAACCAGGTGCACACTGTGCCTTTAAGCCTTCTCAGGATGGATAGAACCCATGACAGGCACCTGTCAGCTCTTTGCCAATGAGAAAATTGGCAAAGCCAGTGAAATCAGAAAAAGAAAGAAGTGCACTTTTGATCTGGAGATGTTATAAGTAGAACTGGGCTTTGGGTCTTGACACACTTGTAACTGTCACTGTTGTATGAAACTGACCTATAGTCATTATAAAAAGTTCACAGTATTAGTCTTGAAACTTTTAAATAATGTTCAGTGAATGTTCACAGGAGATTGTTTTATGCCTATCACCCAAATCCAACAGCTTCTGTAGCAAAATTCTTTTAATGATGATAAAATTTTCACTTAAAGCTGTAGGCAGTGGACTGTAGATCAGAACAGTGCAGCTGATTGGGGCTTTCCCTAAGGTCTGCGCACATTTAAAAACAACGCTATGCTGACAAGCTTTAGGGAGCCAAAGAAACAAGACCCATGGGATATACCACACTGAACCAATCATAAAACACACAATCAAACTTTGAAGATTTATGACAGTTAAATTGTTTTTTAACAATGAAAACTGGAGAGATGGCTCAGTGGGTAAGAGTAATTGATGCTATTGCAGAGGACCTGGGTTCAATTCCCAGCACCCAGATGGTGGCTCACAACCATTCATAACTCCAGTTCCAGGGAATCTGATGTCCTCTTCTGACCTCTCCAGGGACCAGGCATGTACGTGTTGCACACACCCACATGCAGACAAACATTTCTACATATAACAAAAAAAAAATCTTTAAAAATATTTTAACAATGAAAATATTTCTCATCTATGATAGAGAAGGGTGAAGGGCACATTTTCACTTCATTATTAAAAACCCACAGTTATACAAAGCAAAGAGTTATTTTAAGTCCTTGTTGACAAATACTCTACAATACACAAGCACATGTTCTAAAATCCAGTACACACCTTGGTCACAGAAACAGGAGATAAACATGTCTGGCCACCAGCACTAAAATTGCAGAAAACCTCAAAGGCATCTGAAGAGCACCCAAGATTTGGATCAATCCAGTATTTTCCTGTTAATTTATAACAAAAACACAATGTTATTTCAACCTCATAATAAGCTACATGGATTTACATATTGTCACATCTAAGAACAAAATCTGTGTCTGCAGAGACTGATTGATCGGAATTTCCATACTGGGGAGAGATTAGAATGTTGTAGGTCCAAAAGCTAATTACCTAGTCTTGGGCTAGCTCTAGTCTTCCCTAGAACAGCCATTACTTGCCCACTCCTGTGTCTGGACTAACACCTTGTGACCAATAAATAGAAACCTTTTAGAATCTATTGACTTAGCAGACCATTAACTTCTATTATTCCAAAAGTTAAGAATGTCACCAGATAGCATCTTGGGCCTATACAAAAGCTCCCCACATCTCACTGTAACCACCTCTCTGATACCAATTAGTGTATTTTAAAACTTGCCTCAATTTATATCTTTCTTTGTTCTGTATTTCATAAAATTGCTTCCACATTGGAATGTGGAATTTGGGGTAACCTGACTGTGGTCACTCAAAATGGCCCCCCAAATAAACTGTCTCTTATTCCTCTTAAAATGAGAGCTATGGTTTTTATGTTGACACTTGTTAACAGATCACAGCCTTATCTGTTAAAATACATAGGTGATTGTAAACATTTATATTTAGCAAATGAATGAAAGCTGCAAGCATGTAAAATTATTACCAAGAGCTGTACTTTTAAGAACTTATCAATTTAAAAAGAATTCCATAATCTTAATCAAAACAGTAGATAGACTGAGTTCGCTGCTTTGGACTACGGGTAAGTAGGTGTCTGTTAAGGCCTGCCTGTGAGAGGCTGGTGGGCAGAGGTGCTTATCACTGAGCCTCATGTGCTGGTTTTGATCCCTGGGACTCAGCATGGCAGAAGGAGAGAACCGACTTCTGCAAGTTTTCCTCTAATCTCCACATACTCATGATTGTAATTTGTTTTTTTTAAAAGAAAAGGTCAACTAGAAGAGAATTATCTGAAGTTACACAATTAGTATTATAGTTGTAGTTAATGTACTACATTTTGTTTTGTTCTAATTTTTTTTATAGAGTTTAAAACAGAGGTTTCACTTCAAATAGAAATGATTTCTATCTAGCTGGAGAAAATATATCTTGGTGGGTAACATTCATGATTAAAAATAGTAAAATTGGGCAAGAGAGATGACTCTGAGGTTAACAGCACTTGCTCCTCATAGAGAAGACCCAGGTTTGATTCCCAGCACCTATATGGCAATGCTCAGCTGTCTTGTTATTACAGGTTGAGGAAATTCAACACTCTCTTCTGGCCTCTTCTGGCTCTGCAAACATGTGGTCCACATACACACATGCAGATGAAACATGTAAACTCAAGAAACTAGTCACCAAACCACCAAATAACCCTATTAAAAATGGGGTACAGAACTGAAGAGAGAATTCAAAATAGAGAAATCCAAAATGGCTGAAAGACACTTAAGAAAGTGCTCAACATCCTTAGCCATCAGGGAAATGCAAATCAAAACAACTCTGAGATACCATCTTACTCCTGCCAGAATGGATAAAATTAGAAACACAAAGGACAACTCATGCTGGAGAGGATGTGGAGAAAGGGGAAGACTCGTGGCCAGAAAAAGATAAAAATTTACAGTAAAGATGGATTCAGATTAAGAAAAACTCTAAAGGCTTACAGTGTGTTTTAAAATATATGTAGGCTAGAGAGAGAAAAATAAACAGGATAAAGTGGTTTAAAAAAATAGAATGAGAGTAGCCTAGTTGGGTGTGGTGATACACGCCTTTAATTTCAGCACTCGGGAGACAGAAGCAAACAAATCTCTGTGATTTCAAAATGAACCTGGTGTACAGAGTTAATTCCAGGGCAGCCAAAGTCGCACAGAGAAACCCTGTCTTGATAAATAAAAAAATAAAAGTAAAAGAAATAGAGCAATAAAAAAGCCACGTGAAGATGGAAAGCACTAATAGAGTCTGGATACTGTATGCTATTCTGTTGTCTTTGAATTGTTTGACTGCTGAGGAAATAACAACTGTTAAAAGAAATGCTGCTGGATTAATCCAATTTATATATTTTAAAAATGCTTTGGCTTCAAAGTTTAAGTATAAGGACAGGTTACTGGGGAAAAGAATTTCTATTTTTGTTTCCACAGAAAATAAAAAGCTGTGGATTCCTTCCAGACTAACATGGTTTAATCAAGCAAGACCCCCTGAAACAGTGTCCCGGGTGATCCAACATTCAAAACAGCTGGGACAAGGAAGACTTGCAGACCACTGTAGCCAGGATTTCTGCTTCTTCTTATGATTCCCCCATGACAGCGCCCCCTACCAGCAGGAAGCAGTTTGGAAAGAATGTACCCAAATTCCCAAATATTGTTTATAAGTGTTTGTTTTCATTTAAATGGGCTTGGTTATAAATGTTTAATGATCACAACCAATCTCTTTTTAGAGATAAAAAGGGGATTATTCTATAGTAATGATTACTTTGTTTTGGAATGGATTTTCATTTATTGATACAAATTTAAGGTCAATTTTGTGATATGTATATTTCTCTTCTTGTTTAGGTATTGTGTTTATATAGCTCATTTAGAAATGTAATAAGTAATTTAATACAGATATAGACAGTTCTGTATAATAGTCAAAACTTAGAGTTAAATTAGTTTTTCAAGATGTATTTGAGATGGATAGGCAGTCTTCAAACCTTTCAAAGACCTACAGAATATGGCATTTAAAATGGTTTAGGGTTTTTCTTGACAATGAGGCACAACTGCTCCTGGCAACACTACCTGCATCAGAAAGGAAGGCGGACATCGAAGAAACTCGTTATGGAGTTTACTTCCAATATGGCAAAAAATCCATTTGTGCAAGATACTGCTCTTGTCTGGACTGTTTGAATTTATGATGTATAAACTGGACATGCAGGACCCACAGAATAGTGACTTCTGATACAAGATGGAAGAGTCTGCCAGACATTCTGCAGGACACAGAGAAAAGTGACTGACAAACTGCCAATACAGATGGGCAGTTTAAAGTTTCCTGCTTTTCTGAGGAGTCTGCCAGACACACTATGGCTTATAGGCTGAAGATGGAAGATTACAGAGTTGTCTCTGTCATTTCTAGAGTTTATATATCATCCTTCTGTGGTCTTTGAAGGAGTTGAAGACAGATAGTTATGGTTACAGTTTTCCTTAGTTAGGATTAAAGATAAGTTACATATAGGACTTTAGACTCACAAAGATAGGATAGATAATGAAATAATTTCTTTAAACCTTGCTAAATGTTAATGGACTAAATATTGTTAACTGTGGTTCTTATTTGGTAACTGTTTTGTTATATGTTTTGCTATGTTAAGGTTAAAACACTTTTTCTTATTGTAGGCAGAAAAGAGGAGATGATGGGAGATGTCATTGTATAAATGTGTTTCTCTTATTGGTTAATGAATAAAGCACTGTTGGCAAGATAGGCGGGACTAGGAGACAAGGAGGATTCAGGGAGAGGTAGGAGGAGATTCACCATGTAGAGACTTGAGAGAGCAGAGGTTCAGACCCTCTCTCTGGTAAGATGAGACCACGTGGAAACACTTAGGTTAATAGAAATGGGTTAATATTTCTGACAGAGACAGCCAATAGAAATGCTTGTAACAGGCCAACAGCTTTATATCTAATATAGCATCTCTGTGTGTTATTGGTTGATGCGACTGTGGGACCAGGCTGGTGGGAAAACTACTCCTAACATAAGGGACCTCTGACGGTGGCATCAGGATGTATCCCTGGTGCACAAAAGGACTTTGGGAGCACATTCCACATGGAGGGATACTCCTTTAGCCTAAAGGCAGGGAGGGAGGGCCTAGTCCCTACTCCAAATGACTTGACAGATTTCGATGATCCCTCCTGGAAGGCATCACCCTCCCCGTGCAGTGTGTGTGGGGGGGTTGGGTTGCATAGGAGGGAGAGGGAACTGGGATGGATATGTAAAATAAGAAAAATAAAATAAAATAAAGAGAGGAAAAAACCTTGTAAACTAAAAATTATATTTTATTTTCTGAAAGAAAGATGTGATTAAACAGTGACTGTTTGTGCTTCCCTCTTGAGATCTCTAAGTGGGCAGGATGGATGTCTATATGCCTCATTCCTGCTGGCCAGCGTACAGCTAAACTGAAGGCAGAAAATGAAACCATTGTTTAGGAAACACACAGTTGATAGGCATGGTGCTACCCTCCCATTTCCAGGATGACAGAATATTCAAACAGCACCTGGTCCCAAATACAGGAACAGGAACTTTTGAATTACATGCTTCAGCTTTCATGCACGAAGAAGAAAAGACTCAGATAGCTTTTTATCAAGTGTCACTTCTTACCACAGGCAGATTATGTTCTGTTCTAACTTAGAGATTCCTCTAGCCCATCCCGAGTTTCTCCAGCCCTCAAACATTCCGACATGCCTACCAAACACATAGTTGCTGAATTGCTAGTTCACAGGCAAGGACTGTACTCAAACTGTGGTGAGCACAAACCATGGTTCAAAACACAGTGAGTGGGTCCACCCTGGAGCTGCTGGTTCATGAAGTCCTAGACACAGCTTGCAGATCTACATCTCAAACAACATCTACTCCTCATCAAGGGAACACATTCGAAGAACTGCTCATTTCTCGATACAGGAGGAGAGGGTGAAGGATGCCCACCTTCTTCAGACCCCTGCTTTCTCACCAGAATCCCTTATAGGCCTCCAGTCTTACCCAAGGGAGCAAATGCACATTCTCATTCATCTCCTCTCAAGAAAATTTCCCTACTACTGTGTGAGATATTGTTGTATAAATGAAAGTTGTGCATTGAGCTGTTGCCGTGTGGTGGTTTTGAATGCAGGCAACAGAGATCTGGCAGGAGTTGCATGGTGATATGAGATATAGTTTATCTTAAGTCTATGTTATATGCCTTATGTCTTTGTGAGCCCAAAGGTTCTTTGCTTTTCTTCCTAGATCTTTCATTCCAGCTCTGCCCTAGCATCATAGTGCCAGGCCTGGGAAGGTGTCTCTTCTGCTACTGCAGAAGCATCCTATGTTACAATGATTACTATCATGTTACATCATCTCTTATCATTTCCCAGGGCAACTACTGAATACATTTCTTTAAATATTTTAGTTTCTGTTATTACTTTCAGAAAAATCTATGTATAACCTCATTACTGACATTTTTATTTATTTTTTTTTAAGTCCACGTGAACACTATTCCTAATGCCCTGACCCCTGTATTCCTCACAGTCCAGTCTCCTCTGCTACAGCCATTAACTTGCAAGGCTGTACGCCCTAACCTGAATTACCTGCAGTTCTTCATACTGAACTGTTTCACCCTTCTGCTTCTTCCCGCTTACACCTTTTGGTACTGATTAAAGAACCATTAGTACCTTGCACTCTGCCAGGACTGGTTGCCATCGATACTGTCACTTCTCGACGCACTCACGCCTCTTCCTCTAGTTCAGAGTTCTTTTCCCCACTGAGGGTATTTCTTAGGCACATTCTTACCTGTCCCACCCCATCACTTCATTGTATTTGTCTTATAAACTCCAATCCTAAATAAAATTAATTTTTCTGACTGATCTGTAGAAAGCAAAACCCGCTGACTGGGCTCACCTTGACATGTCCTGAGAATTAAGTTTTTTTTTTTTTAGCAAAACAAAAAGATATAGTATTAATTATGTAGGTGACTATAGGCTAGATAAAAATGAAAAAAAAAATGACACAGCTTTTTGGCAGTTACTCCTGACCAAAGTACTTGAGCAGGATGAGACCCTCCTCTACGGATGATAAACCATTCCGTTTTGATGCTTGCGGATTCTTGTTGGGGCATATTTAAATTCTATAAAACCACATTGTTGGGGAGTGTTTTGAAAGAGAATTTATGGTATTTTTTAAATGTTGTCAACTTTGATGGCTTTGAAAGAGAATTTATGGTATTTTTTAAATGTTGTCAACTTTGATGGCTTTGAACAACTATAGACTAAGATGTGTTCCTGTCTGTCAACCCTGAGGTCAGCTACCTTGCAAACATAAAGTGTAAAAAGGACACACAAGTGTGGTGGTTTCAGAAGTACGTCCTCTGAAACTCAAAGACTATTCCAGTTTTGATGGCATTATAATGGCTTTTGACGGTGTTTTATCAAAATGACTGGGATCTGAAGCGAATGCCGCGCAGATCTCATATGTTCTGAAGTGGGGAAGTTAGACATGGGGATCTGATAGGAAGGACTTACGGCCTGAAACCTTACACTCACAGGACTTACAGTGTGAAACCTTACACTCACAGGACTTACCATGTGAACCCTTACACTCACAGGACTTACCGTGTGAGACCTCACACTCACAGGACTTACCGTGTGAAACCTCACACTCACAGGACTTACCGTGTGAAACCTTACACTCACAGGACTTACCGTGTGAGACCTTACACTCACAGGACTTACCATGTGACACCTTACACTCACAGGACTTACCGTGTGAGACCTTACACTCACAGGACTTACCGTGTGAGACCTCACATTCACAGGACTTACTGTGTGAAACCTCACATTCACAGGACTTACTGTGTGAACCCTTACACTCACAGGACTTACCGTGTGAAACCTTACACTCTCAGGACTTACCATGTGAGACCTCACATTCACAGGACTTACCATGTGAGACCTTACACTCACAGGACTTACCGTGTGAAACCTTACATTCTTAGGACTTACCATGTGAGACAGGAATTACCATGTGAGACCTCACACTCGCAGGACTTACCATCTGAAACCTTGTACTCGCAGCTGAGCAAGTCCTTGCAGATCCGTGCAGGGTTATCTCGTGTGCCAAGAGGGTTCTTCATGCTGCTCAGTAAACTGCTAAGGTAGGTCAGGGTTTTGAATATCTCTGCACTGTGGTTGATTAAAGTCACTTCAGTGTTCTGGTAACTCTGCCAAATCATCAGAAGAGTCAGATAAGCAGGGAAACCCTAACGGCAATCTGGACAAGGCAGAACAAGACTGCGTGCGATCCTAACTGCTTTTGGGGAGCTGGGGACAGGGTGGAAAGGATGTGTCTTTGGAGCTAAGCGAATGTCTGCTCATTGATACATGGTCCCCACGGTTCCCACGGTCCCCACGGTCCCCACAGAAGGCCCGAGTTTAGTTGGTAAGCTGACTAAAGACCTGAAAGATCATTATGCCTACCATGCCACGACTTTAAAACTCCATATACAACAATCAGGGTTTAAAATTTATCTTAAACTTTACTGTAACACTGTTCCAAAAAATCACACACTGAGATCATTCAGCATCATAGACTATTTACCGTCCTGATCTTCTGCAGTTAAAGCTGTGCTACTTGACACTGGATTTTAGACTTTTGCTATGAAGTGGATATGCTTATCCACTACCCAAAATGAAAAACACACAACAGAGGGAGAATGAGGAGAGCAGCTAACTTCATACCTTCGTTCGCAACTCATGTCCTATCTGTACGGGCTCTTCCTCACACAATAATATTTAGCTTTTTGAGTTCTCTTTTCTATGTGTTATACAGTACACACACATACACTTGTTTGCATTTATACATAGGTGATTGGCTAGATTCGGCAATGTGGGAGAGAATATGCTTTTTTCTTTCTGAATTATCACGACAAATCCTACTGTAAGAAATATGGTTAATTTTACTTTACTATCTTTCCATCATTACCACATCTCCTATTAAAAGCCCTAATTTTTTTGCTTTAAATGTTTTTCTCATGAAACATCTTGTACATATATTTCTGTTTTATTATACTTGAAAACAGTTTCAGATTTTCCGTTTCAAATCTGACTTTTGAGATTATGCCACGTTTTGGCTTTCAAAAAAATCCCTCTGTTTAATTTGAATATTGAAACTGCCAGTATAAATAGAGCCAGATATATTACCTCCATCTGCAGGGCAGAATTTGATGCAATCAGGGCTTGAATGGCAGCATTGATATCCATTTGTCTCTGTGTAAAACAAAACCATTTGAGATTGCAATCAGATGGGGACAGTGTTCTGAAGAACTCTGTGTTCAGTATGTTATGGGAACCTTGCTGATGAAGGCTACTAGACTGATATGAATGGAATCATCAACTCTTATGAGGACAGGTGCTGCAAATAATACCTAGCTATTTCATAGGAAAAAGAACACAGGACCTTCTCCCTGATCCCACGGGTCTCCTCCAAACAGGACTGGGTTGGAAATGTACCAGTGGAAGCTGTTTGTCCCTGCTGCATGAAAGTGTGCACGCATCACTTCTCAAATGGAAGAGGGATGAAACACTATGCCCCCACATAATAAATCGCACACCGAAGAATAAATAACTGTAGTAATTTTTAACAGTTCTATTCTTGGAAGGAAAGTAGAATAAAATACTGCTGTCCTGAGGTAGTCACCGCAAGAGCTCAATCTGATACTTTTGTGGTCTTAAAAACAATTTCTGAAGTTGGAAAATGTACCATTAGTCCCAAAAGAAATAACAGTACAAGCTCAATCTGCTCCTGCATTTAATAAAAAGATATTTTAAAAGAAAAAAATTCAGTATGATCATTTGTAATAGTCTTTTTATAATTAAAAAAAATATCTTGGAAATGAAGAAGCCTGAGCTGGGGGAAGGTTATGGGTTATGGAAATCACATCTGTGCAAGTGAGGTAAGCCATCTGATTTATCTCACTCAGAAAGATTATGATACTGAGATACCTTTCTCTCTCTCTCTCTCTCTCTCTCTCTCTCTCTCTCTCTCTCTCTCTTTCTTTCTTTTTGTTTTTCGCAAGCCCATAGCATGGAAACTGCTTATCAACAGTTTATTCTCAGGTCGGGTTGGTAATTGGAAAAGCCATTTAATATGATGGAACAATCAATAAAAACCACCACCCATCTTCATATGTGGTTTTCATATTGAAAAATAATCCACTCATTCTGCATACATGTATTTCCAAACACTTCGGTAAGAATTGAGGAGAAAAATTGTAGGCAAGAAACAGCATTGTTCCCGTGGAGGTTAACGCTAGAGGAGAAACAAGCAGAGATCAAATGATCTAAAACCACACAATTATAGAGTGTTTTAGGTGTGATGGAGGAAAAGTGCATGGGGCTGTGACAGAACTGGGGGCCAAAGCTGGGGAGTGCAAGACGTTGGTGAGGGGTCAAGGAAAAAAGGGAGAATGGTTAGGGACAGGGAGGACAGGGAGGAGAGCTTCCCAAGCAGCGATGACAACTCAGGATAAAGTCCATGAGACATGACTTGGCCAAGAAGCAGGGAAGGTTAGGCTAAGAACTTTCTCTGCAGATTAAGCAATCCTACAATCTAAGTCTTGCTATGTAACTCAGGGTGTCTTTGAACTCACTATCCTCCTGCCTCAGCACCCAGATACTGGGATTACTGGAGCGTGCCACCATGCTGGCTCATGGCGTGTGACTAAAAGTACTAATCAGAACACCTAGCACAGTGGCTCTTGAACTCTTTAGATTTAGAAGGCTCTTGGGTCCTTTATTGTGACTGAGCAACACTGAGGCTGTGGTAAAGCTCTCTCCAAGCATTCATTAGGCCGTGGGCTCCATCTTCAACACTATAAAACACAAAACTCAACCAACTGGAATCACAAGTGAGTACCTTAAAAGACTTCTGATTATGTGAGTTATAACTCTTGGTATTTGCCCACATAGAAATATGAACATAAAATTTGAAAGGACACTATTGTTCTATAAAACAAACAACAAGCTCATTAGTGTGCCACCACCCTGTGCTTTTGCTCATTTTATGTTTAAGTTAGTGATGGAAGGTAAGCGCTCGGATTTGTTTCTGTAGTCAGTAAAGTTGCTGTTTCTTTTTACTATTTCTATCATTGTTTTGATGTGGGCCATCAGAACAGCTGTTCTATTTCATACAACTAGGCACTGTCCACTTTTGGACTCGCAAATGGAGTCGAATGACTTTTAAGCTAAATCTTTACAATTTTGAGTTTGGGCAAAGTCCACAGCCTGTAAAATAGACACAGGAGGGACAGAGCAGGACCAAAGTCACTTCCCGAATGCTGTCATTATCTGACCTTTCTAGTGGTTCCCTGGAAGACGTCTAGGGCCGTCTTTATTCTACCCAATCCAGCAGCCATCCTGTACAGCACAAGGTTATCGGTGGGAGCACTCCCCAAAAGTATACACAGTGAATTTTTAACTTTGTCTAAAACAGTAAAGAATGAAGCAGTCACTGGGAACCAAAGTTTCCAAAGAAAACCTAGAGAATGTGACCTCTTAGAGACTTTCAAAGGTTCTGACCATATTCCAGAATCTGAAACTCCATGTGATGTTAGCACTACGTATGTGCTCAGAGAGTTCCGAGAAGTGCCAAGCTGTCAGCTTTGGCTGATCTTGAGATTCTGTGAGTGCAGGTGAAGGTTAATGTGTAATTAAGGTCAACTGCTGGGCTGAGCATTGAAATGGTACCACAATTACGCACAGGTCCCATCAGCAAAAATGGAACCCTTATTATCCCTGGTGCCTAAGGAAACCTAGTAGGAAGTAGAAGTTAGCTGAGCACGCTGAGAGGTGGCTTCAGTGTTCACATATAGCAAAGAATGCAGAGATGACATCATTCAGAAATGTCAACCAACAGCAATGAAAAACAACAAGACTAATTCAGGTTGAGGGCAAGAATATGATTTCTAGGGATATGACATTGTACTATGTATAATGTCTTCTTTGGTTCTCTATCTGAGGATTCTGCATCTTTAGGTTCTAACAAACATGATAAAAAGCATACAAAATTTCACCTGTACTGGACAGGTACAGACTTTTTCTGGTTATTATTACCTAAACAATATAATGTAATAAATAGTCCTATTATGTTGTATTTTATAAGTAATTTGGAGATAACTTAAAGGTTAGAGGAGCATTTGTAGATAATTTAAAGGTTGTAGGTTATATGCAAATGCTATGCCAATTTACATAAGGAACTCAAGTATTTGTGTATTTTTGTATTAAAGGGAGTCTTTGGCCCTGTGAATCCCAAAAGACGACTATTACAAATCATGTAAGAAAGAGGATAGTGTGACCACTACACAGTAGAAACTCTCTGAGGGACAGCAAGATGGCTCAGGGAGGAAGTGTCTGCCCTTAAGCACGATGACCTGAATCCAATCCCCAGGACCCACAGGGTGGAGGGAGGGAACTGAACTAACAAGTTGTTTTCTGACCTCTGCAAATGCAGACTGACACATATGCCCCTCCTAAAATAAAATTTAAAAAAGGAACTGTCCGTGAGAAATCTCAGATTGTGTAAGAGAAAGACATTGACCTAGCAGTGTTTGAATAATGAAAAGAAACTTTTTTTTATTAGACTAAAGAATGGTGAATACAATCTCATTAAATAAAAGTTTTAAAGCAGAGACAGATTACCCAGAAAAGGCCCATATAGAAACTCTGGAGTTGAGGTTGGGGATTTAGCTCAGTGGTAGAGCGCTTGCCTAGCAAGCGCAAGGCCCTGGGTTCAGTCCTCAGCTCCAGAAAAAAAAAGGAAAAAAAAAAAGGTAAAAAAAGAAACTCTGGAGTTGAAGAGCATAGTTGAAATAAAAACTTACTGTACAGACTCAACAGTAGATTTTAGTGGTGAGAAGAAATCACTGATGGCTATAAAGATGGGCTTATTGAGATTATCTAGTCTGAGTAGAAAGGAAAAAAGAGAAGGAAGATGAATAAACAGAAACTCAGGGTCCTGGTGGACACTACCAAGCAGACAAACATAGGTGTAATGGGACTGGAAAGGGAGAAAAAAGGGGACCTAATATTTGAAACAATGGCTATAACCATGCCATATTTGATAAGAAACATCAACACACACATCTAAGAACTCCATGAAATCTCCTCACTCTTAAGGAGTAAAATATTGGGAAGTTGAGGGCAATAGGATCATGAATTTGAGGACAGCCTGGGCTACATAGTGAGTTACAGGAAACCTGGGCCATCTAGGAAGACAGTATCTCAAATAAACTAAAACAAAGAATACAAGTGAACAGAGTGTTCAGCACTACAGGCAAAAAGAGAATGTAGAGACAGGAGAAGTTTATCACAGCCCAGAGACACTCAGAGTAACAGATGACTTTGCTCAAACCCCAGAGAAGTGAGAAGGCAGTGTGGTAGCATGCAGGGTGTGAAAAGGTATGTGAAATGTTCAAACACGAAGGAAAGACATTTTCAGATGAATGAAAACTGAAATAATCTAACCCTAGCCTGCCTTGCATAGAGAATGTGTAATGAGGAGCTAGAGGGATGTCTCTGTGGTTAAGAGGGCTCGTGGCTCCCACAGAATTCAGTTCCCAGCACCAACCATCTCTAACTCCAGATTCAAGTGATCTGGTACCCTCTTCTAGCATCTTCAGGCAACCTCATGTACATGCTCACACATGAAGAGTTAGGCATGGTAGCATGTGAGGTCCTTGATTCAATCTGAAATGTTCCCCTACCCCCTCCCAAAAGTAGAGAGGACACTTCTCCAGGGTGTGGGGGTGCACACATTTAATCCTAGTATGTGAAGGATGGAGAGGACGATGATTGAGAGCTTAAAGTCAGCCTAGGCGACACTCATTCTAGGTCATCCTGGGTTACCTAGCAAGATCCTGTCTCACAATACCAAACCACTGGGATTGGGTTCCACAAACCTGCATTTTTCTAGAGGCTCCCCCAGTATTGTTTATCTGAGCAGCTTTGTCACTGTGAGTAATGGAAGAAAAGCTATTGACATCTCGCCCTTGTTAAAATGATAGGCCTATTGGCAGGACATCTGTAGTAATCGTACTTACAGGAGATTGGAAACAATTTAAATGTTCACCAGGAGAAGACTGAATGAGAGAGTAACAGGGACTCCTAAATCAAATGACTGGCTTATCTTCTTTGAGCACGTGTGAGTGAAGAATACAAAGAGCGTCAATAGAGGCTGGGACTTAATTAATGCCAGAGCATCCACAATTTTAATCAGGGTTTGTACACTCAAAGAAACAGACACTAGAAAACAGACACTAGAAAACAGACATTCCGTAGGACTTAGTTCTCATGACTTTGCTTTGCATTCTTCTTGTTTCTACAATTCCTAGACGACTCCCAAACCCCAGGCTTCCTTTTGCCACATGGTAGGAATTCAGTGTGCTGACTTCGTTATTTTTTTCTCATTTGTAGACCCAGACAGGTTGACTTAAGAGGATTTTGAGGAAGTCATTCAGTAAGAGCTCTGTGTCCACATCTGAGTACAGAGTTTTCATTTGGAGCTGGGTGTGTCAGCAGACATTGTAACCCAGGGCTGGAGAGGATGAGCTCAAGGTGAGCCTGGGATGGCTTCAAAACAAAGGGACAGAAAAAGCTCTAAGTCCAGCGAAGGGATTGTTAAATAAGAGGTGTTTTTATGTACTCTAGTTTAAGAGAACATATTATAACAAGAAAATCACTTAATGTTTAAAACATAGGCATAAAATTGCCCACATCTGAGTATAAAGCTGCTGTTAAATGCAGGAAAATGGTCCAGAATGAAATGAAATAAAACAAAACAGCTTCCTTGTGTAGTCTACTTAAGGAGAGAACACATTATCATGTGAACAATCACTTAAACTGTTTTTACAGACGAGTGCATACAGCAGGAAACAGAACAAGGTGTGAGCAGACTGGTAACTAGCGAGCCATCTCACAGTCTCAAGTGACTTGGTCACACTTTGCCAGAATGTAATCCTCCCAACCTCAGGCTCAAACAACAGGGTCAATGTCACCCTCCCAAGTCTCTCCCATGTTCATGTGAGTGACACATGGGTCCAACCCGGGCACTTCAGGGTTTGGGGGACTGCTGCTTTTTGGAGTTCTGAAGTCTCCAGGTGGGTAGCTGGTGACAACATTGAAGGACTAGGAATCAATCTGAGACCTTGGCCCTCTCTGGTGGAACTATTTATGGCCTTTGAGGCCAGGACCTCTCTGCTACCTCTCAACTCACCTCTCCAGTTCTCACAGTTGACTCACGAACGAGGAGAGTTCAGCTGAAATCTCTTATCACATTTACTGACTTTTACTGATGTTTGTCTACATATCACCACACACACACACACACACACACACACACACACACACACGTGTGTGTGTGTGTGTGTGTGTATGGGTGTATGAGATGTGTGCATGTAATGTATGCATGTGTTCACGCAGTCACGTCTCTCCGTGTGTGTGTGTGTGTGTGTGTGTGTAGCATTGTTGTGTATAGTGTATGCATGTATGTACATATGATAGAGCAAGTGTAGATGTTGATAGCCTTCCTCTAATACTCTCACTGAACCTGAAGCTTGACAATTTGTCTATACTGGCTGGCTACCCAGAATGTCCGGGATCTGAACATCTCTGCCCTTTCAATGCCGGGTTACAGGTGTGGGTATCCATGTCCAGCTTTGTTACTGGGGATTTGATCTCAGGTCTATTTCCTTCACAGTATGTACTGTCACTCACTGAGCCATCTCCCCAGATAGCTTTCTGTATATTTTTATTTTATTACAAACCAATATTGTAGAGACTCACTAAATTGGTCTCATCTCCTACTGAACAATGAATCCAATTTGAAATAACTGTACACACTACACACACAGATGCTACACATATGTATGGACAGAAGTGACTATGTGACACATGCATACACTACGTGCACGTATCCCATATTCCTACACACACACCCCCCTCCACGACATAGTAGAAGTGTGAGTGACTGATTAATATAATGGGCATGGATTTTTCCCCCAGGGTGATAAAATTCTGTTGAAATTACTAGTGACTGCTGTACATTACAAATCTAGTGCCATATGTTCAAAAATAAAACTGGTAAATTTCATGTTATATGAATCAATAAAAATCAACCATTAAAGAAACCTCAGTATGTCGTTACTAGTGAGCATAAATGATTTTGAGAAATCATTTTGTCAGTTATATTTTTGTGTGAATTTTGTCATGATGTAAAGCTTCCTGAATAATTGCAGAGAAGACTTCTAACCCTTTGTTTTGTTTCTGAGGCAGGGTCACATTATGGTGCCTGGCTGGCCTTGAGTTTGTAATCTTCAGCTTCCTTAGTGATTACCACATGTGTCACTGTGGTTGCCTTGGGCATCTCCTCATTCTGTCATCTTACCTCCTTCCAAGTGCAACCTCTTCTCAGAGGATTCATGCTGAATGCTCTAAGAGGCCTGACATATGATTTTCTTTGTGTGTGTGTGTGTGCGCGCGCGCACACGTGTGTGTACATGGCACATGTATTCAACAAATGCTTATTAAGGACTTGAATAGGAATTAGACATAACAAGTAAGCATTGATGAAAAAGGGAGAGCTTTCCATCACACCTCAGGGTGCAATGAGGAGATGGGTTAATGAAGATTTCAAGGAGGCTGCAACCATTGTCATTTAGACTTCTGCTGCACAAACACTAGACTTTATGACATTCCTGCATTGGCCTCTGCAAACACTGTGAAGAAATGGACTTTCACATTTGACAAAAATAGAGAAGACAGAGGAGACAAAGAGCAGAGAAGGAACCCAGGCCAACATGGAAGAGACACCTATCATTTATCAATCATAGGCACTTTCCAGTTTAATCCTCTTAACAATTCCTCTGAGTATATACTCATATCCATATTTACTTTCTCAAAGAAGGAAATTCCACGTGTCTACTTCATGTTAGTTATGTAGCCACTCGTAGATTTCCAGCTGAGACTGGGGAATATGCCCCCTGGTTAGGTACATAATTTCTCAAAGCTATCATAAAGGTGGGGAGGCAATGGACAAGGGCAAAAGACAACTTACAGTCCGTGCATTGCAAGGACATAGAGGACAAGGAAGAGAGAGGCATGATGTGAACGACAGATCCGTGACACTGGCCGGGAAATTATTCTCAGCTGCAGGCAAAACTGGGAAAATGCAGATCTCCCAATGTGCTGAGTGGGGAACACTGTGGACAGGCACCCAGAACTATTATGATCTGACGATACGAGAAAGACATGTGCAAATAATCATGGCTTGGAAAGCATAAGGCTGACCATTGCTTGGAGCGAATAGTGGATGGGAAGGAAACGCGATCCCTTGCCACTGTGTGTGAGCAGGAGACTGATGAATCTCAGCATGGCTGAGATTGGGGGTAAAGAGAGACCCTTAATAAGAAACATGGGGTCAGAGAGGTTTTAGAATATGACAGTAGATAAGAAGAGAAACTAAACAGAATATTGGCATATCAGAGATAATAGCCAAAGAAATAGAAATGTTATTTTAAAATGAGCCTAGCATGTTATAGGTATATGTGGTAGTTAGATCAAAAGATGTCTGAGGGCTTTTCCAGACACTAGCAACTGCCAAGGATTCATGTAAACTCTAAGGAGAGAACTCCGGTTTAAAAAAAAACAAAAACAAAAAAAAAAAAAAAAAAAAAACAAACTAAAGATTGAAAAGAAAGAACCAGGTCCCAGAAACAAGAAGAAATGGAGTACCTATTATATACCATCATCTCTGCTGGATGCTTTCCTAGTGTTTAATGTTCAAAATGAACCAAAAGCAGGAAATATAATCTCTCCTTCCTAGATAAGAAATGTAAGGCTGGGACTTCAAGTTCTCAGAGCTGGGCTGCCTTAGCCTTACTAAGGTATACCAGAAGGACGGGACGACTTTAAAGTTTAAAGTTCACATGATGGAGGTGGAGAGAGAGCTCAATGGTTAAGAGCACTTGCCACTCAAGCATAAGGACCCGAGTCAGCCACAACACCCACATTACAATGCCAATATGCTTGAGCAAGCTTGTAAACCCCAGTTGTGGGGATAGGGTATTGCTGGCTACCAGCCTTGTTCCAGGATCAGTGAGAGAACCTGTCTCAAAGGAATAAAATGGGTGGTAGAACAAGGAGAGAGGACATCTTTCTTTGGCCTACACACACACACACACACACACACACACACACACACACACACACACACAGAGACACACACACAGACACACACACAGACACACAGACACACACACAGACACACACACACAGACACACACACACAGACACACACACAGACACACACACATATGTTCACATAAACATACACACATGCACATCCAATACACACATACAGCAACATGCGTACATGCACACACAACACATATACATACATACAACCCACAGACACACATCACCCACAAACACACTCACACACCCATAATCCACCCACCAGTGTTGATATTCTCAGACAAAACAGAGTGAAACCAACCACGACAACTTACTCTTGGACCAGGCGCTCCAGGTGGACCCTGTAACATAATCAAAAAATAAAAGGAAACAAATCAAAACCCAGTTGGTAAATATCTCAAGACCAGGCAACTGTATATTAATCAATGACAAACAGATGTAAACAAAAATGAACTCACAGGAGGTCCTGGTTGGCCTCTCGGCCCTTGGGGACCCTAAACGAAAGGAAGACAAAGCACAATGTGTAGATAATTTGCTTTTGATTTGGTATTAACCAATATTCAACCTCTGCCAATGCCTAGTGACGTCGCGCATATCACGCGATTCACATCATTTCCATATTAAACAGCTCTTGCTCTTAACTGTGACCCATAATTCTGGATAACCTGGAAATTTAATATTTTTGGGGGGAGGGAACTGTTTGCTCATTTTAACAAATTAAATAAGTTGCCATGGAAAGTGTTAATACATTGTAAGCCATTTCTATTAGTACCGGCCCAATCACATTGTATTTTCCCTTCATGTAAGCTATATCCCTCTAACCATCACCAAAATTCTTCCTTATTTCCAATGTAAATCTTATATTATGTCCTAATGTCTGCATCCCCCAACTGCTGAATAATGTCCTAGTTTTTAACTCTGTGATGTGGGCATTGGGTGATGAGGGTGAACTATATATAGAGAGGTCAACGCCATTATGAAAAGAAGCATTCTGATTTGCTGTCCTCTGTACTGGGATAAAGGTAACGCTGGCATTCTGTAAACCAGGAAGACATCAGTCTATCCATCACACTAATGACATTCTTCTTAGAAAGTGGAATCCATCATTCCATTCTGAGGTGAAGTATAAACTTCCTAGCAGTGTGGCTCACCATCCATCCTGAGTTTCTTCCATGTGAAATGTTTCCATGCTAACATCAGAAAATGGAACAACTGAGTAATCAGTGAATGAGGAACAGAGGTAGGAACAAAACTTAAGTAAGGTAAAAATGGAAGTGATGTTCTTAGACACTTCACCCTGTTGCCTCTCTGCAAGTCTGGTCTTTATCAACACAGCCTACACACCTTCTACAGTCAGCTACTTGAACATCTGTGAACCCTCCTTCCCTTTTAACCTACCCCCTTCTATCGCCTCTCCCTCCTGTCTTCCTTCCCTTCATTCCTTTCTTCTTATAGATTTTGTCTTTGGAGCCCAGCCGGCTTCAAGCTCCCACTTTTCTCATGCCACATGTAGAGAGATGCCTTCCAGGAGGGGTCATCCAAATCTGTCAAGTCAGTTGGAGTAGGGCCTAGGCCCTCCCTCCTGCCTCTAGGTTAAGGGAGCATCCCTCCATGGGGAATGTATTCCCAGAGTCCTTTTGTGCACCAGGAATACATCCTGGTTCCACTGTCTGAGGTCCCTTAGACTGCTCAGTCCTTCTGGCTGAGACCCATGTTCAGGGGGTCTGAGTCAGTCCAATGCTGGATTTCCAGCTGTCAGTCTGGGGGTCCATTAGCTCCTCCTTGTTCAGGTCAGCTGTCTCTGTGGGTTTCTGAAGCCTGGTCTTGTCCTCCCTCTCTGCAACTGGATTCCAGTTTGGCTCAGTGTTTAGCTGTGGGTGTCTGCTTCTGTTTCCATCAGCTACTAGATGAGGGCTCTATGATGGTAGATACTCATATATGGATTTTAGACATAGAGCAAAGGATCACCAGCCTATAATTCACACCGCCAGAGAAACTAGGATACAAGGAGGATTTTAAGAGATTCATACAAGGTCCCTTAAGAAGGGGAAAGGAACAAGAGCTCCTAAGCATATTGGGAGTTGGGGGGGGGCAGTGTGTGTAGAGGGAGCTAGGAGAAAGAGAAGGGGAGGAGAGGAAAGCATGTGGGACTAGGAAGATTGAGTCAGGGGAGGAATAGATGAGAGAAAAGAGAGACACAGAGAGAGAGAGAGCATAAAAGAGGGAGTTAATTATAGGTTTGAAGAGAAAGCTGACTCTAGAGAAATGTCCAGAGACCTACAATACTGCCCCCAACTAACAATTTGAGCGACAGGGGAAAGGCTACCTTAAATGCCCTTCCCTGATAGTGAGATTGATGACTACCTTATCCAAGTTCTTCCATGAATGCATGCATTTGCTCATGCTCCTGTATACCCATTCTATCTACCGAAGGCTCATTTCTCTCAACACTGCTTTAAAACTCTGCATCCACCATAATTACCTGTCATCATCACTTCCTTTCTCCTCGACTAATTATTTCTTTTTTTCCTCCATTCCATAGAATACAGCACTGTAGTAAGTACCTAATGTTTGATAAAATGTCTGTTGCTTTTTAATTTTCTGGAACAAAAATCGTGCCTATTACACACTAGAGCCTCAATAATTCTTAATACACAATGGAACAATGTTGAAAGTGTTACTAATTTAGAAAGCAAGAAGACTAAATAGGTGCATTAAGATGCTCAAATTATGCTGATATTTTCCAAAGTGAATCAGCAGCAATCATGGTTCATGTCTTACACATCTGCTCAAAATTATCTTATTTGAGGTGAATTGAAATGTCAGCATCATATTGAGTCAAACTCAGATTATGGTTAAAAAATGGTAAAAAGAAGACTTCATCTCCAGCTGTTTTCAAATATTGTTGACACTGTAACTGGCTTCTTATTCAGGCCCCTTTGTCACTAAGGCTGCTAACCTGGATTCTGTTGTGACAGCTAGAACAAATAACACATAGTTACTTAAGTAGGCTATAGATGCTCACACTATGCCTGATAGATATATCACAGTTTTCATGATCTTTGCTTAAAATTGCAATCAGAGAGTGTTCAAAAGTTGTTCTCGGAAGCTGCCTGCTTAGTTGCAAGAATACTGTTACTAGTGATAGTCTAATTTCCAATTATGCAGAGGTTAGAGTTAATTTGATCCATTTGGAACCAACACTGCAAAAATACTAAACAGCTGTGTGATTGAACCACTGGGTATGCTTCTGACATTTATAAAATCTCTTTGATGGTTCAGTACAAAGTTTGTATCCTATATTTGAGAGGAATGTACCATAGGAAAATGAACAAATACTTCCTACTGCTGACAATACCGAATTCATTTCAGCTTGTTCCTCAGAGAAGATCAGTTCACCACAAATATGATCCAATGGAATACTTAACACGGAACAAGGCAGGGCAGGGCAATCCTAATGCAACAACGGCATGGAATGGGTCAAATAACCAAATAAAACTAATTGTGATTCCAACCACATAACATGTTGTTATTTCCTTTATTCCTTAGCTAGCATGACTAAGAAAGCCATCTACTTCCTGTCTACTACATAGAGTACTGTGTAGCAAAACTATCATTGTCCTAAGGGGAACCATATTCATGGAGATGGCTGTGGTGGTGGCCACAGAGAAAGCATTCTCTTTGAATCATGCCAAGTTCTCTCTGCTTCATTCCAGATTTTAAACAAACCCTTAAACAGTAACATAGCTTATCATTTGATTTAAGAAAACTAGTAAGTGCGTGACCTTGAATCTGAGTATGCAGTCTTCCTTCCTTCCTTCCTTGCTCCTTCCTTCCTTCCTCCCTCCCTCCTTCCTTCCTTCTTTCCTCCCTTCCTTCCTTTCTCTCTTTCTTTCCTCCCTTCCTTCCTTTCTCTCTTTCTTTCCCCTCTTTCTCTCTCTCCCTCCCCCTCTCTCCCTTCCTTCCTCCCTCCCTCCCTCCTTCCTTCTTTCCTCCCTTCCTTCCTTCCTTTCTTTCTTTCTTTTTATTTTTGGCTTTTTCAGACAGGGGTTTTCTAACAGCCCTGGCTGTCCTGGAACTCATTTTGAAGACCAAGCTGGCCTCAAATTCACAGAAATCTGCCTGCCTCTGCCTCCTGAGTGCTGGGATTAAAGGTGTTCACCACCACCTGTCTTGATTTTCTACTTATGTAAATTCCTTATTTCATTCCTTTATGTAAATACAGTTGTTGTCAATTACCTCATGAATTCTCTTAGGCTGGTTTAGTTTTAGAGTGGTCTTTCTATGTAAATATTGAGGACTTCTATTACAGGATGCCTAGTCTCTGTTTTCTAACTCACTAGTATGTTTCCCTTGCACAGTTGTGGCAACCAGAGAATGTAACTAGTCTTTGCCAAATACTTCTTTGGGACTAAGTGGCAGATGACTTCTCCTGAGAACCATGGGCTTGAAGGGCTTAATTTTGAGTTTTACAATATTAAATAATGTTTATTAGACAGCAATGTTAGGATGAAATCAGTAAATTGAAGGCTGAAAGCATGACTGCAAGTTAGGAATCTGATCTTTAAGCTGCCTGTGAGTGGCTGGTCACTCTCTCTCGCTCTCCAGGCCAGCTGGTTCCCTAGCTGTAGTTTTCTGGGAGGCTCTGTAATTTATGAAAAGAAGTTGTCTGAAGATGGAGAGATAGGCTCCAATCTTGACTTTGTAAGTTGTTATTTGCTCTTGGGCGTGCCCCTACAGATTCAGGTCACAGAGATCTCATTTGAAAAATATGCTCTGTGAGTGTGATGGTTTGAAAGAAAATGGCCTCCAAAGAGAGTGGCACTATTAGGAGGTGTGGCCCCTGTTGGAGGATGTGTGTCACTGTGGGGGTCTCTGTGAGTTTGAGACCAGCCTGATCTACAGAGCGAATTCCAGGACAGCCTCCAAAACAATACAGAGAAATGCTGTCATGAAAAACCAAAACAAATCAATAAATATAAAATAAAAGTAAAAAATTTATTCCTCATCTTTTTTAACTGGAAAAAAGGGTTATACCTATTTGTATAAAGTGAAGGTTTCAATTTTGAAGTTTGTATGATTGTAAGGGAATTTGTGGTTGAATCAAAGGAGTCAATTTATTTTTCATTTGAATGAATTATACTATCTAGGAATGAAGCATACACCTACATATTTAAAATTCTCCACTTTAAAATATACGATGCTTTCACATACTTTATTTTTTTTTTTTCTCATACTGTGTAAGCCAAATTGGAGGCAATAATTCTGGTACCCGAAAGCTGTCAAGCCATATTAGAGTACTTGAGAAAATGTCAGTGGAATTCAACATTATACTGATTTTTGTCTTATCATAACATACTATAAAAATGAAGCGGGCGTCCTGAAATTTATGGTGAATTGCTCTCTACATTTTTTTCCTACTTCTGTGCCTTTCAAGTTATTTCAAGTTATGATGTTCTGTCAAAATCAGAGAGACAAGAGAATTTTTTTTTGTGTGTGTGTAAGCTAATACTTTACAAATAGCTGTATTCTATTATTTCTGACAAGTGCCCTTAAATTTCTTCTCAAATTAATTGTGTCCTAAAAGTGTTTTGGAATCCTAAGGAAGTCAAGAATTCTTTCAAAAATTAATTTATAAGAAACACAAGAGTAAATTCCCACTTACTACCTGTGAGCAGGTTTCTTAGGATGCCCTGATCTGGAGCTGCTTAGAGAATACCTATAAGAGTCCTGGGCTTTAAAAAGAAAACCCATAGGCAGCCAGACAAGGACCAAGCATAGAATCGAGAAGAGATCTCTTACATGGATGTCCAGAAATGGCCGCCCACTGGGAAGGACTCATTTCTAACCAGTTCTGGAAGCTATAAAGTTATGCTGCAGGAAGTGGGGAGCTTCTTAAGGAAGGAAGTCCAAGTCTACGACAAAGGAAATTGTCTCCACGGTGTTCCCCGAGCAGTGATGGGGATACTGTGATAGCAGGAGAAGGGCTCCTGGGTGACAGGAAGACATAGTCTCCAGAACAGAAGGAGGAGAGAGACACGGGCAGGGACCGCACCGTAGTATCTCAAGACCGGAGGGGAAACAATCAGACAGGGCTTCCCTATCAAGGGGAGGGGTTCAGATCTTCTTCTGAGTCAAGTGTCAGGGAAAGTCACGCAATCTGGTTCATACCCTCACTACATCCCCGCGGCCCGTGTGTGGAGAATGGGTTGCAGCAGGGGAAAAGTAAGCCCAATGAAAAGGTGCTCAGAGCTGGGGTGACAGGACGGTGATACAGGCAGGCAGGGTCAGGGACAGAGGTGGAAACTGAGCTCGATTTTGTGTTGTATGCCTTCGTTATCGCTTTTGTAGGGTGTTTACTTATTTTCCACGTATGACGTATCACACTTCCAAGAGCTGGCAGGAACTTAAATGCATCCCCACTAATTCCAGTCAGAGCAAGAGTGTTAGTCCGGTGACTCCAGGAGGTGGCTGGTCAGCCTTGCATGAGAGGAGCTTGTACAAGCACCTTGTGCTGGACTCGTTGTTACATCAGATGAGTTACTGTTGTCTCAGACTGAAGTCCAGCCCAGTATTCTGCTCCTTTAGTTGGTGTTTATTGTGTTCTCATTATGGATGAGGGGCTATTGACCACGGCGTGCATGCTACCAAAGGTAGTAGGTGGTAGTAGTGTCAGATAGTGATATCAAAGTTGGCATTAAATGTGTGCAATGTCTTCTTGGAGCCCATTCTCAGGGTGCTGATCACAGAAACAGAATACTTAAAAATTAAGTCATTTCAATTTATTCTCCATGGTCACTCATGTTTACCATTCATTTAAAATTCACTACCTGCCAGATGGAGGTGGTAAACACCTCTAGTCCCAGCACTCAGGAGGCAGAGTTAGAGGACAGCCTGATCTATAGTGGGACAGCCAGAGCAACACAGAGAGACCCTGTCTTCACAAAACCAAGAATATAAATATTTCACTACCTATTGAGTGGCAACTATAAGACAGATGCTGCCAGGGACTGGGGTCCCATCCTGAAAATAAACATTAAAACAAAACCAAAGTCAAAAGCATGTTCTATGGCATTTGTGCTCTAGTGAGGAGGCAGGCATACTGATCGAGAGACCAAATGTCATTTGGCAGGCAGCATGGGACTTGGTTTCAGGAAGGTGAGGGCAATGCCTTTGCACAGAGGTGTGATGGTGGGTCTTTACTGTCACTCATGAGTTTGAGGCACAACTCTGGGCACATCTGTTTCAGAGATGATTGACCAATCAGAGGGGTTAGGGCCAGTGGGATAAAAGAGATAAAAGGAGAAGACCAGAAAGGTGCTCAGATTTCCAGCTCTGTCTCCTGTCTGACATGATGTGAACATGGGAGCCATCCTCCATCACATAATCCTGCCGGCATGATGCTCTGCTCACCTATGTGGGGTCAAGCCGTCGTGGACTGGGCACTCGGAAACTGTCATTAAATCAAATTTCCTCATCCTAAGTTGTTTCTGTCACACACTTTAGTCACACGATGTGAAGTAAACTAATGTAATAGGCTTGTCAGGAAAAGGCTTTGTGATAAGAGGCCTCTGAGAAAAGGAATTAAGTTTCGGGTGACAGGCATTGAACTGAGTTTTCTTCCAGAGGTGGGGACAGGGTGTCCCCAATACTCCAACCTATGCAAATGGCCCTTAACTAGAAATGTCAAGAGGAATAGAAGCCGAGGGCTTTAAAAGTACAGTATAGAAGTGCCAGGAACAAGAATCAGGAAGTGAGGAGGCTGTAGAAAGAATAGGAGAGGGAAGCCATCAGGTTGCGGGGTCTAGCCATCATGGCGACCTCACCTGGTCTTCACAGGACCTTCTAGGGCCTGGCTGTTGGACCCTTGAGCAACGTAAGAGGCTTCAGCTCTGTCTAAGTTTCATTTCGAAAGGGATGGCCTGTCCTGTCACTAACTTGTTTACTCTGGATGCCATCTTTCTATCAGAAGTCTAACGTTACAGTCATTGAGTTTTCAGCCTGTCAGAGCAAGTCATTTGTTTTCACGATGTTTATAACATTGCTGCATTATGAGGTCGCCATAGGCTCTTGAGGTTTCTTGATCTCACGGAAGCTTACGATGTATCACCATACTTAGGATAAGCCAGGCATACAACACCAAAGCTATGGGAAAACCCTTGTGTTTTAATTCCCGTTTCTACTCACCCGGGAGATTAGACTTCCTACAAGCACATGTTCTAGCTTCCTGTTATATTATTGTCTATTGGGAAAGCATCTACACTCTTGTGTTCCCCTCTCAGCTAACTAGCATAGTCATTTCACCCTATACCTGCTGCCTCCTCTTGGGGGATGCCATCTAGTCAACCACCATCTGGTCAGCATGAATCGCTCTTGTGGCAAAACCCAACCAGACAACGGTGCTTGTGTCAAGTGGTGGATGTACTCATTTGCTTAGTGTTGGTAACCTTTTACTATCTATACATACAACTCACATCACCACTTTGTATATGGAACATCCACATAACAAGAACTTTTAAAAAAAGAAAATGGATGTCTGCCATCCCTGCCCTCAGGAAGAAGAGATAGGAGGAGTAAAAATCTGAAGCTAGCCTGGACAACACAGCGAGAGTCTATCTCAAAATAGCATCAACAAGCTAATGCCTTGATTCCCTTGTAACATCCCTCGCCAGCTGGATATAGTATGTGTGCCTAATGAGACCTGGCAGGGTTTTCCCGGGTACTGGAGAACACTTGTCTCTTTCATGCCCGGCCAGGCAAACGCTCTACTGTACACAGCGATCTGGGAAGAATTTGATTGGCAGGTCCTTAAACACATTCAAGGCTTATCAGACCCCATTGGAATGTACCATATAGGTTATTTCTACTTCTTGACAACTATAATTTGATTTTAAGCCCACAAATATCAGAGGCACGACAGGGAGCGGATCTAAAACAGTCTTTGATTCCTGGGGATTATCTCCCAGAGATAGGGGCTGCTGCGATCGCAGATTTCATCATTCAGTTAAACTTACAGTTTCACCTCTGAAGCCTTTTTCACCTCTGGGTCCCTGAAAGAGAGGGAAAAAGATGGTAGCCGAGTGCTGTGGGCCTTGTGCGTCTGGCGCAGCAGCGGCTACCCTCAGAGACGAGGCATTTTAATGTTCCTGTCTCACCTCTAGGAAGATCTGCAAATTCGCATGCAGTATACATTTCCTGAGCAACGACAAGCTCCCCACAAAATAAAAACAAAGCAACCCATGCTGGAGGCTTAAGCTCTGCTCACCACTCAAGCTCCACCGTGCAGTGAGTCTGGGGCAACAGGACTGTTACTCGGGGAGAATTTGGAAAGGAAATTCTTCCAGGTTCTTGGTTCCAGTCTTTGGTTTCTCTAAGCTTTCAAAATCCTTGTTTCTAAAGCAACCTCTTTCTCCTCTTTGATTTTCACTTTCTGCTCCCCTTTCAGCTTTATTTATTGCGGTGTATGTGGGTCACATGTGAATTCAGAGGACTACCCCCACGAGTGAGTTCTTTTCTTCCACTGTGGGACCTGGGGACCGAACTCATGCTATCAGGCTCACATGGCAAGCTTTTAGCTGCACCACACTAGCTTTTTAAAAACATTTTGGAGAATAATTTTTCCATATCAAATCTAAGAATTCAATTTTAAAGTATGTGTGTGTGTTTTTTTTGTTTGTTTTAAAGATTTTAGACTTCTCTCGTCTCATTTAGAAGATCTCCCCAACTTGTAGCTACACCTTAGCTTTCTAGATGATTTTTTCCCCCAAGAGAACAATACTTTATTGATCTTTAATGTGCCAACCCACGATTAGCAACTGAACATTCGGATGGAAAATGACTTTAAACATTAGGATTAAAAGCTGAGCCTGGGGATTGGAGAGGTGCTGCACTAATACTAGTTCAATTCCCAGCCCCCACGGCCAGGAGAGCAGATGCTGGATTCTGCATGCTCATGCTACAGACACCATAAACTAACAACTCACACATTTAACTCTGGCTGACACTGACCAGGTCTCAGGTGTTGTCACTCAAACCCTGAGAAGCCCGGAGTTCCCACTGCAGCTGGAACTGGCATTAACTCTCCCCTACCTAATGTCTGGACACCGAGTGAACACTCAGGTCTAGAAAAGGAACTGAAGACTTTTCGGGGACAGGGGTCTGGCAGTGGAGCTCCCAGGAGTCTAAATTATTATTATTATTATTATTTAAGTTTTCTGTTCTGTTTTTCACATTAACTTTATCTGTTTTGTTTTTTAAATGGTGAAATGGGATGACAAAGTCTTTTCAACACTAATGGTTCCCAAATAATCCCATCTTCCTTTCCTGCCACCAGTGTAGGAGTAGCCATGTGCCCAAATGCTAGCCAATTACTCAGAAGTCCCTAACACTTGAGGGTGATTCTGAGCACTTGTACGTGTCTAAATTAAAAAGCTAACACATCCGAAGTCCTTCATCCTTACTGCGAGCCGGTTTGGCTGAGTGGTCCCACTGCCTGCATCACCCTTTTGCAATGATTAAATCACGGTATGCTCACATATCTAATTCGCCCTCTTCCTGTCACACTGAGCGGCTGTTTTCTTTTTTCCTACCATGCACTCTGTTACAATAATCTTGCACTCTCATCGTTTCCATTTGGAAGAGAAAGCCGTCCTTGCTTCTACCCCAACCTGTTTGCCCTCACAATATTTGTGTGTGACTTTCAGATGATTATTTCTTACAATGGACTTTTCTTCTTGGAATGGAAAGAAACAGAATATGGCAACAATTTGAGAAGAAATTTGATGTGCTTGGTGAATATCATAATGACCTTTCACAACTATTGTATAAACAAAACACAGTGAGATATTTTAATCGGGACATTTCTTTATCACATTTTCCTTGACCAATAATATTTCACATTTTTTTTTTTTTTTTTTACAGAGGAGAACAATCCTTAATCAGAACAGCGTGTGCTGAAGAACCACCCACTGGACTATGAGAACTCTCCCCACCTACAGTTTTATGGAGCCCTGAGTAGCAGATGTTGGAAGCCAAGAGAATGAGTTACACACTTTATTTCTTTTGAATAAGCTCCAGTAACTTTAGTGGTGAATTCTCTAAATTTATCAAAGATAAGAGCTCTCCATCACAGTTGAAATGTTCCATTTTCAGTTTTAAATGTTTACACATAACACATTCAAATGCTTTAAAATATGGCTTCTTCCAAGGCAATGAATCTTGACTTTTTTTTTTTTTTCTGGTCTCGATTTGCCCCTTTGTGTACAAGTTATCAGTTCTGCAATAGGGCCCACCACACTGTTTCAGTCACTGCGTCATCTCACAGTTGCTTTACAGACAAATTGCTTACAGCGCTGGCAATGAGACGACTGTATGTGCTATGTGCGCTCCAGACACAGAGGGGATGGGTGGAGACATCAGCTGCGGAGCTCACTGGTTCCTTTACCTCCACTAACTGGATGGGCCCCTAAACTTTATCTAGTGAAGGAAATAATGCCTGCTTCTAACAATTGGAGAGATGCTGTCACGGGAAATGAAGCGAGGCGAAAGCTGTAGGGGACACAGAAGGAGTTTCTGAAAAGTTACCATTGCATTTCCACAGCCGTCTTTCAGTGTGACCTGCCCTGGGAGAGCGTGGCCATCACCCCTCCCTTGAGACCGCCCGGTTTAACCTTGCGCCATTCTGGTTTCCTTGCTCACTGTTTACAGTGGGTGCTTCTAAAGACTCAAACCCTGGCCATCAGAACTCATTTAGCTTCCCGAGTCCTTTCCTTTGGAACTGCCCCCAGTCTCATAGCTTTAGTGGCTGCTTCCATGCTTACCGCTCTCCCTGGCTCAATCCACTAGTCTTTTCTCAAGCTGGACATGCCTCCACCACTGAAACCTTCTATTACTCTATGACCCTTAAGATTTGCCTTCCAGAAGAAAATGAGTGCCTTCTTTTTTTAATCTTCGTTTCAAAAATACAGAGACTGATTCTTTACGGAGTTTTTGAGAATTATGAATTTTAAACCATGGTTAGTAACAAGGACAGAATAAAAGGGCTATGTTGTAACAAACTTACAGTTTTGCCTGTTGGGCCTATTATACCTTCTCTGCCGAGAGGGCCAGTGCTTCCCTGTGGGGTAGAGAAAGCCGTCAGTCTCTAAGAAAAAGCCTCACTCTTCAAATAAGTGAAAAAGAAAATCTAGAAAATTTGTGCTATGGTAAAATAGCTATCGCTAAGTGGTTTTCGTTGTAATACATCATATTAGCATAAATTACAGTTGTTTTGACAATTATACAATTAACAATTGATACAAATGCCTACATTGCTATAGTTTCCCACTAAGGGAGCTATAAATCGTTATTTCTAACCAGTGCAATTCAAAACTAGAATGTCACATGGTGAGAAGTCCAAGGATGTATTTTCTATGTGGAGTGAGTGTGCCATAACAAATGAAGTTGCTTTATGCAGGGTACTAGAAAAACGAACACATTTTAAACGAGCGTATGTACAGATGTTGAAGGGTCAGGAGCGTATGTACAGATGTTGAAGGGTCAGGTGCCCCAGTTCTGGGAAGCATGGCACAGGGCAGGCCCAGATGGAATCTCACGTGACCATTACTGCTATTTTTGATGAATATAAAATACTCATTTTGTGTTTTTTTTCTCCCTATCAAATTCCACTGATAGCAAATTTCTCTTTCTGGTTCATAGTTGGTAGGGAAATAGGGAATATGCAATGATAAATACATAACAGTTTCCTCTTTTTTTTTTTTTTTTCAGAACACGAAGAGGTAAAAGAAATACTGTCAATTTAAATCTAAGGTAGTGTGGCCTGTTGTCTGACAGCTCTAGTACTGAATGGACCTGCGAACAGAGAAATTGCCTGATAGACTAAAGGAGTTGGGATCACTTTTTAAACATAACAAACTTCAAGAGACAATCTGTAAACATAGTATGCAAGTGTCAAAGATCTATAATTGAACCAAGAAGCTTATTTTAATTCAGTGCAGCCTCTAGAGCAGCGGTTCTCAATCTGCCTAACGCTGTGACCCTTTAACACAGTCCCTCAGGTTGTGGTGACCTCAACCCTAAAATTATTTTGCTACTACTACTTCACACCTGTGATTTTGCCACTGTTATGAACGTAATGTAAATATTTTCAGAGGTGGAAGGCTGCTAAAAAGGTTGCGACCCACAGGTTGAGAACCACTGCTCTAGACTCAATGGCTGTCGAGGAAACTTTAGTCTAATTATGACGTAACTCTCCTAAATAATAATTTGTGAAAAGAATAGGAAGGTATAGGCTGGCACTAGAGGAAAACAGACCAGAAGCATTAGCAGTTATTTACATAAATGTTCAAAAACATCACACTATGATTTTAATGGTAGGTATCATTTATCTGTGTCAGTGTGCTTTTGGAATGGAGTGCAATAAAATGCTGATTTTCCTAGTGTGAGTACTCTTACTTAGTCATCAGACACTTCTGAATTTTGGAGGGGGAAACAGACCATTACTACCCACTGTCCACTCTGATGCTGCAGCTATGGTGAACAGCCCTGTAGCATGTGGTTTGACCACTCAGACAGGGAGCAAATTCTTCCTCGCATGCATACCATGGTCTGGGAAACATTTTCCAGAGACTTGGTTCCCCAGCTGCAAAGCACCGCTCATAAAAATTTAATTGGAATTAAATGACATAAGGGACACAGCCTGAAACACTAGTACCGACCCGCCCCGTACTAACGTGTCGGGACATTTTACTTGTGTCCTACACAGGTGTGTCCCAGGCACTCTCTTATTCTGCCTCTTGTTTATGAATGTAGTGGTGAGCTCTTAACCCGAACTTTACTGTTAGTGAGGCATCAAAAGTAACTGATGATGGCTTCAGTCCCTGCCAATCCAAAGCCTCAACACTTAGAGGGACACTGCTGAGGACTGCTGTCGGACTCTGACCGGGCCACAGAAGCAACATTTATTTTTCAGCCGTCTACTTGTACATACCACACTTGTGCAGAAATTACACTTTCTGTAACAGCATCCACTTGGTTCCTTAGAAACGGTGAGAAAAATCAAACTGACACCTGGAGAACTGTTGAGGCAGGTCTTCAAGTGAACAATCCCCACAGCAATGCTGCCCTTGCTTTTATTGAAAATAATTTATGGATGGAGTTAGGGAGGGTGTAGAGGTTTGAGAGTCTGCTCTCATTCACTACTTTGAGCAAGGCAGCAGCTGGGGTCAGGAAAGCTCTTCAGGGGTCTTTCCTGCTGTTTCTCTCCTTCCTCCCTCTCCTGTCTACCCCGCCCTGGCAGCTGTTGAGACCTTGGAGTTGCTATGACGACAACCAAACCGCCATCTGCAGTTTAGAAACGGTTGTTTTGTTTCATTGCCGTTTTATAGGCCATTCCTCATTATGACTGCGTGATTAATAAAAACTGTAACAAAGCATAAGTAACGGTGGCCAGGGCCGAGCCTGGCTCACTTACATCCTGTACATTCTGCAGCTCTCAGCACTAAAACGCTAAATGACATCTGCTAGCCTTTGCTTTTTGGGACTCTTTCTGCAACTTTCGTCACTCTCCTGGGATGCCTGATCCTGAGCAGGAAAAAAAAAAGTCAGCTTTGGGGAAAGAGCTGCTAAGTATGTTCTAAAGAGTTCTAAAGCTCTAAAGAGAGGCTAGCCTTCTCAGGTGGGTGGCGTTTAGGCGCTGGCTGAATAAATGTGCATGGCACAAAACCGCTTTATGTTTTCGATGATGTGTTAACAGACATCTTGCCCTTTCTCCACAGCTATTCTGATGATTTTTAAAATAAGAACTGAGAAGTGTGGGTGCTCTATTATGGTATTTTGCTTAAACTAACTAATGAGATGTAGAAGGATGGAGCTTGCATGGGTTGTTCTGAGTTTCTGCCTTGAAAATCACTTTATTAACTTATTAATATGAAGTGTCTCAATTTAAAGTCCTACAATAAGCAAAGAAGCAGAGGTCTTGGGTGACAGGATGACTCTATACTTACTCTCTGCCCAGTAGGACCTTTAGGGCCTGTAATTCCAACAATACCAGCATCCCCTTCTGGACCCTAGAGATACAGTGAAAAACAGGAAGCCCACTTTAGCCATTTACAGATATCTTACACATGAAGAGTCTCATACCAATCTAGAAAGTTTTTAAAAATACTTCTTAAAATGGGAACAAAAGACAATCATATAAGAAAATTGATGCGGCATATGATTAAAGAAATTTTGTTTTATCACGTGTATGTGAGACAGATGATAGACAGACAGACAGACAGACAGACAGGTAGGTAGACTGGTGGCGGGGAGAGAGGCAGAGAACATGTGTGGGGAGTTGGAGGGTTAGAGAGCAGGCATCGTCAGCATCATCATACACTGTGTTGGTGACAGGGTCTCTCGCTGCTTTAGCTATGCTAGCTGGCTAGCACACAGTTCCCTTATCTGCCTCCCATCTGCTCACAATGGTTGCTGGGACGGAAGAAGGCTGAGCTACCATGACTAGCTTTGATATGGTTTCTGGGTATCAGAACCCAAGTCTTGTGTGGCAAGTGCTTATTTTAAGCTTTATTCATTTATCTTTTCATGTAAGGTCTCATATATCCCAGGCTTGCCTTGAACTATAATCTTCCTGCCTTATCAAGTTCAGCAGTTACAGGGGCTTTGAAATTAGCATTTCCAAAACTCAAACACATGGGTGTACCAAAAAAGATTTTAAAGATTAAAGAAACGTTCAGATCATAGACTAAATTTGATTATTTCATTTCAACACTTCTCCCCCCACCTCCCGAGATGCACATAAGACTACCAGAACATATACACACATACTCTGGGGCCTGGGAATCCTTGGAAACCTGTCAAACCTTGATCACCGTGTTCTCCCTGCAAGGCAAGAAGACAGGAAAATTGTTACTGTACAGAGGTGGCCTGATCTGTGGAATCAGTACTTGGTGATCTCAGAGCTGACACATACAGGCTGCCCTTTCAGACCAGGCTCTCCATGTAGTCCTTGGTCACCTTGTGCTCCTCGCTGTCCTCTTTTACCTGGAATTCCAGGTTGACCAGATAGCCCTTGTTCACCCTACAGAACAAACAAAGACAGCTGATTTTTGACCTCAGAACCTATAGAAATGTTAGTGAAATACAAATATCCATTTTTAGAATAGTACAAAGCATTGGGGATGTTAATCATCTTCTTCCTCTCCACCATTTCCCACGAGTAAACTTTTATTATAACAAACAAGAAGTATAGACATAAGACAGGAAAATCCCAGGGATCGGGGTAGGTACACATGTGGAAAGAAGAGGAGACCTTGTGGTGTGTAGGAAGTGTTATGTGAGGTAGAACATGTTTTGTACTTAAGTGATCAGCTTGCTCTGTTGTCCCCGTCTTCCAAAGATGACGACAGCAGAAAGAGAGCAGTTACCTGAGGGACAGACTCTGTTTTTTTTTTTTTTTTTTTTTTTTTTTTTACCATGATTATCATTTCAGTTCTACCAAACTGAAGGATGGTTGGCTCTATTTTCAGGTTTATTGAATGGTTATATTTGGCTTTAGAGGAATGAAAATGTGTTTGAGAAAGTCTGCATCTAGAAGTAAATTCCCTTTCTCTACCTGTAAAAGGCAGATGACAGAGAAGAGGAGAACTAGAAACAAGTTAAAAAAAAAAAAAAAAAAAAAAAAAAAAAAAGCATTTTGGAAACACTTCTGGTTCTTTGTTAGTGAGTTATCCCCAACAGCATGCCAGTTGGCTACCGCGGGAAATAGACACGGGTAGGTTTTCCTATCAGCCAGATTTTATTAAAAGATGCTCAGCCGTGATCTAGACAGGGTGTGCAGGATGGACAGGTGGCTTGTCCTAGCTGACACACAGGATGAAAAAGTACCTTTGGTCCTGGAACACCAGGGCTCCCTGGAGGCCCTGATGAGCCCTTTCCTCCCCGAGGACCTGGGGATCCCGTCAGTCCTGTCCTTCCTGGGCTGCCTGTGACACCCTGGATAACATAGACAAGAAATGGAAGTTAGGGCATTTTGAGACTGTCAATGTGGAGGGTAGATAAATATAGAGGGGCTGCTGCTGATGTGGCGCCCATGCTTGGAAGTATGTTTTCCCACAGGAATGAAACAAAGGATAGATTGGGAGGCCCACCACTCACGTGACATATCTAACTATAGTTAATATGATCTTGGGTTTTTAAAATGGAGACTCCAAGGCAATACCAAGTTCCTCTTGATTTACACAAGCAGGGTGTACAGAATGCTTTGCTGCAATCTAACTTAAGGAGGTATACTCTGCTGTGCATGGCAACTATAACAAGGAATTCTCCGTTCCTCAATTACACGATTCTAAAAAATCCAGTGAAAAGAGTTTTAAAAATGAAATTAAGCAAGCAAATATTAAATTCCTAAAATCAAATCCTGAATCAGGGTTGACCACTACGGCTTACAAGTCAATGCCAGTATTCACCTGTTCTTATATAAATTGTAACACAAGCATTGTTTTTAACATTTTAAATGATGAGAAAATGAAAATAATAATAATTTAAAAATGGAAGAGTATATGAGATCTGGTTGACTACGAATAAAGTTTTATTAGGATACAGCCGCGTCCATTCTCCAGTGTATTGGCTCTGGCTTCAATTGTGCTGCAGCGGAGATGAGTAGCTATGATGGTGACAGTGATGGCAGCATTCCTGTTTGTTGTACAGCATGCTGCAGTAGGGCCATGTTTCAAACGGAACATACATGGCCTTCCTGTGACTTTTTATTTCATGTCTTTCATTGGTGGAACATATCTACCATGTCAAAATAAGAAAGGTGGACCTTGAATATCACAATTTATAGGCAGAGTGGAATGTGGACTATTTTGTTGTCTCATTAGACAACAAACTCTTGTGTTTGTTATGGACTGAAACCACATCTGTAACTAAAATACAGATGATACATTCCAGCAACATAAGACCAAAGACGTACTTCAACTTTACATAAATGCAAGAGATAGGAAGTTAGAAAGTTTAAAAAGGAGTGTCTTATCATATCAGAATTCACACACACACACACACACACACACACTTTTTAAAGGACACTGAACTAAAATTAAGTTTTCAGTTGTGAGCTCAGCAAAGAATTAACCTTGTTTGTGGTGACTGATTACAACATACGGCAAAAAACTCTTGTTCAATATTGCTTATCCTTTTGGTGAGGGTATTGCTTGAAATGTTGACATTGTAATAGAATCAACTTTTTGAGAATATAATAAATGCTTTTAAACTAGTTTCCTTGCTCTTGGTAGGTTAGCGGAAGATTGTAATATTTGAGAAGATGTTCATTTGAGGAATCAGAGATGAGATTGAAATGATGGAAAAGTTAATTTGCATGGAAAAACTACAGGTGACTGCCAGGAAGACTATCATCAAGGAAGTTAAGGACAAACAGATCAGCACAACCTGAATTAGAATATTCCAAGAAGCAACAAAACTGATAGATGTGATAAGAAACAATCTACTGGACAAAATTCAAAGCTTGGGAAAGCCTGATGTTTAAACCTATCAATATTCATTGCAGTTGTTGCCAACAGGTGATCTGAGGAAAATATTTGAATTTAATATATAGATTATCCAACCTGTGTGGCAACAGTGAATTCCATTGGAATTTGTGAATTTAATCTTCTTTGGTTGTATAAAATTTTTAATCAAAACCTGTGATGGGATACCTTGACATACAATTACACAATGTTTGATGGTTTGGGATAAGTATAGCTTTGTCTATGTATTTTGAGACAGAGACGGAAACTTTTCTAAATGAGAGAAACACCCCTCCATATAAAAGGCCAGTAAATACATCTGAATATGTCCAAAATAAAGAAAGTCAGATAAAGAAAGGAATGCCATGGAATTTATCTCAGTGGGTAGAGTGGTTGCCTAGTACACAACCTCATGCCCAATGCCCAGCACTACATAAACCTGGTGTTGATGCTAAGGATGTAGAGAAAGATTGGGAGTTTAAGGTCATCCTTGATGACAAGTTGAGTTTGAGGATAGTCTGGAATACTTAAGACCCCATCTCAAAAAATAAAACCAAAAACAAAAAATCAAAACCAACCAACCAACCAAACAAACAAGCAAAAACAATTAGGCTTTACAATGCTTATTAGTTAATAAACCTCAAAATAACAAAGGACAATGTCACTTTTGCATGGACACACGTAATTTCAACAGCTGATCACAAGTAACGCTAGAAGAATTGTACATTGTCTGTACTGTCACAATTAAGACTACTGTGAGGCAACTGCCAGATTATCTGAGTTGGGTTTCAGGTGCATATTTTAGACAGAGATGGAAGAAGATTTTGTGTTTCCCAACCCACTTGACTGTACAGTTGAGGAATTTCTGCAGGATCTTCAATTGGAAATGACTAAGCTACAATATAATGGCATTTTGAAAAACAGCTATCAAGGGAAAAATCCAATAGAATTCTACAAATTCCTTCCACGCACTGAATATGTTCAATTAAGATCATATGCTCATAAATTGCTGTACTGAGAAGTTCCTATCACTGTGAAAAGAACTTTCATATACTGAGTATGTAAAATATGCAGAATCCTAACAGGGCAGTTTAACAGTCAAGCAAAAAGCTGCCAATAGGGGACTAACTATTGAGTTAAATGTTGTCTCTCCAAAGAGTAATTTGCTTTCTCCATCTTTTTTATTAGTGGACCTTATTACAAAAGAATTATACTCAATTAATACACGTTAAAAGTACGAATGAATAAGAATGCATAACATTTATTTTGTCATACAGTCCTATGCAAACTCCCAATGTCCTTCCTTTTCTACTCAGTCTTACTAAATCTAAGCTCTCCTCTGGAAGGAGCATGCCACTGTCTGTGTCCCTGGGACGCTAAACCCTGATTCTCCCATGCACTCAATAGGGACTTTTTAAAGTAACAATTGTGAGGACGACAACACAGGAAGCCTTCTAGGGAATATGCACATAGATGAGATATGACTCTTACTTTCAAGAAGCTTCACATCTTAAACTTCTTGTGGTGTTTTCAAGACAGCGCTTCTCTGTGTGGCCCTGGCTGTCCTAGCACTTTCTGTAGCCCAGGCTGGCCTCAAACTCAGAGATCCACCTGCCTCTGCCTCCAGAGTGCTGGGATTAACGGTGTGTCACCACTGCCCAGCAACTATTATACTTTTACATACTGTAAAAAGTCAATATATTATCTATTATGTATATTTAAAATTTGCGTTTATGTGTCTCTCTGCATGTAAGTATGCACACACATGTGTCGGTGGCTATGGAGGTGAGAGGTGGGTTCAGTGCTGTGGAGCTGGAGTTGCAGAGTGTTGTGAGCTTCTAGATGTGGATACTAAGAAATGAACTCTGCTCCTTTGCAAGAGCAGCAAGTACAGCAACCACCCTTAACTGCTGAGCCATCACTATATTCCTAACTACATATAGTACCTAACTATATTCTTAGATACCCTTTCTAGGTAGATTTCTATGACCACAAAAGACTCAGATGTAAGTATTAATAAACTATGCCAAGTGATTAAAGGCAGATAGCTACAGGACATAAGTTCATATTCCTTGGCTAGACTTTGAAGACTTTTTGTCCTTATCTACGTTTACTACTCTATCTCCCATCATTTCTTTATATTAGTGGATCTAAGTGTTTTTGAGGAACCACTACAAGTACAAAACCCTTATAAAGGGAGGAAAAGAGGAGGGGAGAAGGACAGACGAAAGATAGGAATGGTAGAGAAGGCAGGGGGAAAAGAGTAGAAAGTGAAGAGATAGATATATCTACTATTTATATATGTGTCTGCATATGCATCTATGGATCTATCGTCTGTGTATCTATGTATTGAGGAGAGATCATTGTACTTCTTACATATTCAAGCACATTATCCCAAATGTATTAGTCTGTCCTATTTATTTTCCTTTACTTCCTTCTATATGTTTTAGATTGATTTAATATAGTCTGCAAGCCTACAGTTTTGGAAAGGTTTTCTCTATGGATCACGAGAATTACAAGGGGGATGAGACTGTTCTATTTAGAGTTCATCCATGCAAATGAAGGAACATCCTATATATAAGAGGCACCTAAGACTTCAGGAAAATTTCAAAAATGACCAAAGAAGACTTAGGTGTTGTCAATGGCCATACCTCTGATAGGAATACAACTTTATAGGAATGGGATGTTTTAAAAGTGAAATTTAAACTGGACATGGTGGCATATGCAAGTAATCCTAGAATTTAGGACAATGAGGTAGGAGGGTCATGAGTTTAAGACCAGCTTGGGCTATAAACTGACTGTGAGGTCAAACATGGACAATACAGTGAGACTCAGAACAAACCAGCAATAATACAGCACCCAATACACCCAACTATCCAGACTCCCATCCACACAACAAACCAATCATCCATCTATCCAACAACCAACCAAGAAACATCAAAATTCTAATGCAAAGCATCTTCTCCCACTGGGGAAAAACTCAACAGCTAGAAGACCTAATGTCTTATAGCATTCTTAAAATGTCAGGTATAAAAGACAGAAGGAAAGGCATGTAAGGAAGAAAAAAAAAAACAAAACAAAGCAAATGTTCTTTGACCCACAAAGTAACCCTATAGTTAAACTTGGATAAAAAGTTATTGTGCAAATACAATTATTGGTATAATAATTGTAAAAATTAATGGTTATCTTTCAGCTTGTGAGCTACCTTTCCCAAGATGCCATAGGGAGACATTCCTTATGGGTAGTGTGCTAGATGTAGGCTTCTCAATGTCCCACAATTCCAAAATAGTGTTGCTTCACTTTCATCATAGTTCTAAGTAATTTTAAAGGTCATTATTTTTCTAGTGTAAAAAACATATACTCTTCTGCTAAGACATGGGACACGGACACCTAGACACCATTGAGCAGCTCTGAGGTCAACAAATAATTTGTAAAACATTTGCAAAAAAAATGTCGTCATGAGAAACTTCG